GGGCATTCTCTCTCTCCTTGCTTCTCTCCTGCTCTCCTGCTCTCCTGCCTCCTTGCCCCTCTCTCTCTCTGCCACGAAGCACGAAAGCCAAGAACTCGGAACTGACCAGCACAGATGTACTCCATGGCGGGCACGCGCGCACCGGGCCCGGAGGCGGCACCGGCGCCCGTGAAGGCCGCGGCGCCCGAGGCGGCGTAGGACATTGGCGCGGTGCGGGTGCGGGTGCGGTGCGGTGCGAGCGACGACGACGACGAACGGGCGAGTGTGGGGGGCGCGACGGGGCCGCAAGCACGGCACGAGAGAAACGGCGAGAGTGTGTGGGTGGGGCAGTCGGATGGCGGTGGTGGTGGGAAGCAAGAACAGCGGCGGCAACTTCAAGTGAAGCGAGAATCGCGCGCCTCGCGCGGGCAAAATTCACACTACAACGAGCGGCGGGCATGAAATACAAACGCGAGGGGGTGCATTGTTGTAATCTGCGCATCGCCTGTGCGCCGCCTCTCATCGACTCGCTTTCGACGGCGCGGCCGCGGCCTGCTTCCTCACCACCACCTCCGACCTTCGCCGCCGCCGCCGAGGCATCACGTCCAGCCTCGCTTCCACCTGCACCTGCACACACACTCTCTCCCACTCCACTTTCATCCGCTTGCTCCACTCTCGGCTGTGTGCCCACCAGTGCGTGCCCCCCTCTCTCTCTCCGCCGTTGCCCACTACTCACCCCCTGCGGCAGTGGAGGAGCTCTCCTCCAACTCTTCCGACTACGCCGCCAACAGCTGGGTCACCTGGTTTCTCGGCACAAAGGGCAACGAGTACTTCTGCGAGGTCGACGAAGACTACATCCTCGATCGCTTCAACCTCACGGGGCTCAACACCGAGGTGCAGCACTACCCCGCCGCGCTCGATCTGGTCACCGATGCGCTGGGTGAGTGTGAGGGGGGGTGAAGATGGTGAATGGCGAGGAGAGGAGTGTGAGAGTGAGAGGGAAAGCGGCAGGTGACGATCGAGAGAGAGAGAGAGAGAGAGAAGGGGAGAGCGAGAGGAAGATCTTCTTTCTGCCTTGCCTTTCGCTTCTGCCTCCCTTTCGCTTCTGCCTCTTTGCTCTCACTGGGCACAGCGGCGAGGGGACAATCGAGAGAAAGCAGAAGGTGCCTCTCTCTCTTCCGCTCCCTTTCGCCCCTGCCTCGTTCCTCTCGCTCTTCTGCTTCCTTTCGCCCCTGCCTCGTTCCTCTCGCTCTGCGCTGCGTGCTTCCTCTCATCGACGCGCCGCCGCGCTTTGCGTCTCCCTGGCCTCGCCATTCCCCCTCTCTCTCCTCTGTGCTCACACCTGCCCTCTCGCAGAGGACGAGCTAGATGACTCGTCGCGCGATGCCGTCGAGAACCAGGCGCGGCTGCTGTACGGTCTGGTGCATGCCCGCTACATCATCACCAGTCGCGGGCTCGCCAAGATGGTGGGTTATGCGTGGCTGGCCCTGTATTCTTGCCCCTCTCGCCTCTCCCCTCTCTACTCACCCCCCCCCCCCTTTGCTTGCACAGCTGGAGAAGTACAAGCGCGCCGACTTTGGGCGCTGTCCGCGCGTGCTGTGCTACCAGCAGGCGTTGCTGCCCGTCGGCCTCTCCGACGTGCCCTTCCAAAAGGCCGTCAAGCTCTTCTGTCCGCGCTGCGAGGACATCTACTCGCCAAAGTCCAGCCGGCACGGCACGATTGACGGCGCCTTCTTTGGCAGTACGTTTCCGCATATGCTCGTGAGTTAGCGAGAGGTGTAGAGAGGGGGGAGGCAAAGGTGTGGCAAGGGGGGAGAGGCTGCGATCATGGGAGGACCACCTGCTGCGAGCGCTGGGCTGTCTGCTTGCCGTGTTTGGCTGCCATTGTTTCCCTGTCCTTGCGCTACTTGCCCGGGCGTAATGGGCTGACCTCTGAGGGGGTCTACAGTTCATGGTCTACCCGCACATGCTGCCTTCCAAATCGCCCACCTCTCCCTCTCCCTTTCTTCTCTCCTCCACCTCTGCCTCTGCGGGAGCGGGAGGGGTGGGAGCATCCGACGAGGCGCCGTCGGCCGCCGGCGCCGGGCCTGCGGGCGCGCCGGGCGGAGGGAGCACGTCGAGCGCCGCGTCGAAAGTGGAGCGCTACCGGCCGCGCATCTTTGGCTTCCCCACGCACGAGACGGCCAAGCTGCATCGCTGGCAGGAGGCACAGCGCGACGCCCAGATCGAGCGCCTCGAACGCGCAGAGGCAAGAAGTGCACTCGCCTCCGCGGCGCCCGGAGCGGGCGTCGGCGCCGGAGCGCCCGCTGTGCCCGTGGGATTGGCGGCGCTTGACTAAAGAGCCCGAGTAGCCCCCCCCGTCCTCTGCCAACGACCCCCACCCACTCCCCCTCACGCGCTCCCTCCTTGTAATCTCGACTCATCTGTCCCTCCATCGTTACCCATGCAATCGAACGCGCCCCCTCTGCCACGGGCTTTGACGCTGACGCATCGCTTCGCGCACGCTCGCCGCTCTCGGCGCCTTTACGCTACTCTGCGGCTCCGCCCTCTGCTGCGCGGGGGCCTCTGCTGCTGCTAGTGTACATGTGTATTGTGAGATCGGCGCGCGTGTGTGTCACATGGTGCACGGCGTGCGCTTAGCTGAGGTCAAAGCCGCCGGCCGAGAGGGCGACGACCATGTCTGCGTCGAGGTAGCTGGCGATGTTGACGGCGTCGTTGAGGCCCTTTCTGCGGCGCACCTTGAGGCAGACGTCGCGCGCCAGACCCAGCGGCGGCGCCGGCTCGAGGGCCCTGAGCTGCACACTGCGGTCCAGCGGATCGCCGGGCACGACGGCATAGTGGGAGAAGAGCTGCAGACAGAAGGCCTGCCCTTGCGTGTGCGTGCGCAGGTCCGTCTCGAAGCCGTTGGCATCGAGCACGGGCACGTAGGCCTTGACGACAAAGAGCGGCGAGCCGGCCTTGGGAATGTCCTGCGTCACGTGGCCGCGCCGCCGCGCAAGCACCGTGTACACGGCAGAGACACACTCTGCCGGAGCTTGCACCTCGACGTAGTAGATCGGCTCCATGAGGCGCGGCGTCGCAAGCAGCAGCGCCGCATAGCATGCGCGCCGCGCCGTCGGGATAATCTGCCCGCCGCCGCGATGCAGCGGCTCGGCGGCCAGCTGCGCGTCGAGAATGCGGAACTTGACGTTGCGCATCGGCTCGTCGGCCAGGGGCCCCTCGCGCGTGCCCCACTGGAAGCCCTGCTTGATCGCCTCGCGCACCGAGTACAGCAGCTTCTTGTCCACCTCCGACGGCAGCGTGTCGTCGACGAGAATGTTGGGCCCATTGTCGGCGGGCCCAAAGGCCCACACGGAGCGCGACGCAAGCAGGTCCCAGCCGTACTTCTGCGAGCAAGAGGGGTGAGCAGATGTGGGCAGAAGGCGTGGCCCACCCCACCTGTCCCCACACACACGCACCTCCTGCAGGTGCTTGCCGAGCTCCTTTGGCGGCATGCGCATGTTGAGACGCCCCGACTCGATGTCCTCGGCAATGCCCTTCTCCAGCGGCTCGGCAATGATGGTGATCTTGTTCCTGCGTCGCGATGTTCAGCGTCGCCACCGCCAGTGGTGGGCCTATGGCAGCAGGGCCTCGTGGCAGCAGGGCCTCGTGGCAGCAGGGCCTCATGGCAGCACTCACTTCTTGTTCGGCGTCGATGCATAGCACTTGACCGCGCTCGTCTCGACGACCGTCTCGGCGAAGCGCACCACGGGATCGCTGACCTTGATCTCAATCTCGGCATACAGGTTGCGCAGGTCGTGCATGAGGCAGTCGAGGTACAGCTCGCCCGTGCCGAGCACAATGTGCTCGCCGCTCTCCTCGACCTTGGTCGTGGCGAGCGGATAGCTCTTGTTGATCTTGCGCAGGCCCTCGAGCATCTTGGGCAGCTCAGAGGGCACGAGGGGCTCGATGCTGATCTTGAGCACCGCCTGCGTCATGTGGGCAATGGGCGCAAAGACGTGCAGCTCCGCCTCGTCGATGTCGCCGCCCACGAGCGTCGCCGTCTTTGAGATGCTGGCGTCGACGCCGCCCAGCAGTGCCCAGCAGCCGGCGGGAATGCCGTCTGCCTCGACGGCATAGCGCGTCTCGGAGACCCACACATTCTCCACCGTCGCCATGGCCATGTCCTCGTCGTCCTCCTGGCTCCATGCCTCGCCCAGCACGCGCACGCGCTGCCCTTGCCGCACCGTGCCGCTCATGACGCGCCCAAAGGCGCGGAAGCCCAGCGCGTCCGTCGTCTGGTACAGCTTCGAGATGCACATGACCAGCGGGCCGTCGGCGTCGCAGCGCAGCATCGAGTCGTACAGCAGGCCTTGCCGCGGACCCGTCCAGAGGCGCTCCACCGTGGCCTGCGCATTCTCCAGCGGCGACGGCACGTTTTCGACGACGATGTCCGCCAGACCCGTGCTGTTGCCAAAGAAGTGGTTCAGCACCACCTTGAGCAGCGGCCGCACGTCAATCTTGAACACCGCCGGCTTGAGGTGGATGCCGAGCGCGCCCAGCGTGGCGCGCAGACTGTCCGTGTCGGCAGAGAGGACCTGCGTGTAGAGCTTGTACAGCGGCTCCAGAATAAAGTGCACGAAGCTGCGCTTGCTCTCCGCGTCGGGCGCCTTGCGTGAGAAGTTGCGCCCCGACGCGGAAAAGTAGATGTTGCCCCAGAGCCGCTTGGCAAACTCATCCACGTCGATGCCGCCGCCGTGCGTGTCGGCGTAGAGCTTGGCAAAGCTGCGCAGCGTGAAGCACCAGCCCGTCTGCGTGCTGGCAAACGCCACGTTGCCGCGCTCGGGCCCCAGTCGCCGCGCCGGGTTCTTGTCGTGCGTCGCAATGAGGTTGTTGACCTCCTCGATGGAATGTCGGATCTTGAAGTACGCCTCGGCCGGCGGGAGGCGCAGCTCGAGAATCAGCCGGTCCAGCTTGTTGAGCACGAGCACGATGGGCAGGCCCTCGCGCTGCAGCAGCCAGTCAGCATCACACACGCGCCGCACGGCCGCCGCCCCCCCCCCCCCCCCTTCTTCCCAACGCAACTCACGATGGCGTACTCGACGACCTTCTCCGTGCCCACCATGACGCCCTCCACCACGTCCACCACCAGCACCACGCCATCCACGCTGCGCATGCTCGCCGCGACCTCGTCGAGAAAGTTGGGGTGGCCGGGCGTGTCGAGCAGGTTGACGAGGTGCGACTTGCCCTTGGTCGTGCCGAGCACCAGGCTGAGCGGCGCAGACTTGAGCGAAATGCCGCGCGAGCGCGAGAGGTTGGAGATGTCCGTGTAGCGCTCCTGCGGCAAGGCGTCAGAGGGTGCGTGGGAGGTGAATGGTCGCCGGGACGTCGTCCTCACACCCCCGCGCCTCGCAGCTTTGCCCCTCCTCGCTCGCCACAGCTGCAGCTCACGCATGCCTCCACGCATGCCTCCACTCTTGCCGCACCCACTCACATTCGTGTCGGTGTCCACGTCCATGCGATGTGTCTCATGCACGAGCATGTCCAGCAGGCTCGTCTTGCCGTGATGCAAGTGTCCCACGACGGCCACATTGCGCACGCCCTCGGGAAAGTTCATGAGGTTCATCATGAACTCGCGCTCGAAGCGCGTCTCGGGCAGGCCCGTCTCCTCGATGCCGAAGCGGCGCAGCTTGATGGGCTCGATGATGGGCTGCGTCAGGGGCTGTGCGTCCTCCTCCTGCACGAGGGCCTCGACGTCGTCGCCGTACACTTCGGTGGCGGAGGGGTAGTACTTCTTGTCCTCGTGCAGCACGACGGCGTTGGAGGCGCTCTCGTCGATGCGCATCAGCGTGCCCGCCGGCGCCGCGTCCATCTCCTCGTCGTCGTCGTCGAAGCCCTCGAGCGGCGCCACGGGACTGGCGTGCTGCCCGAAGCGCGCGGCGTCGGCGGCCGAGAGGGCGGGCACATCGCCGGCGGCCGACGAAGCGTCGTCCGAGTCGGAGAGCGCGCCAATGTAGTTGCCGCTGGGGGTAGAGGGTGAGCAGGTGCGGCAGGCAGGAGACAGCATCGCGCGACGCACAATTCGTCGTAGTCATCCATGCTGGGCAGACGAGGTGAGGTGGAGTGCAAGCAAGGAGCGCGCCGTGCGGCGTGAGAAGGTCGCGCGCCGTCAGCGGCGGCGGCGCGGCGGCACGTGACGCGCGCCGCGGCCCAGCAATGCGGGGGCCGCCGCGAAACGCCATCGCCCCACGACGCCTCGTCTCCCTCCTGCCTTCGCACCACCACCACCACCAGCCAGCATGCCGCTCGCCGCCTCTCTCGCCTCCTCCGCCGCCGCACAGCGTGCGCTACTGAGCGCCCTGCCGCGCGCCGTGCAGGGCGCCATGCTGCCCGTGCTGCTGCGCACCTTTGCGCCCCTGCCGCCCACCCTCGCCCTCTCGCTGCCGGCGAGCACGCCCCTCTCTGCCCTGCTCCACTTTCTCGCCTCCGCACTGCGCCTCACGCCCCGCACGGCGCCCCTGCTGCGTCTCACGGGCCCGCACGGGCGCGTCCTCTCGCACGCCACCACGCTCGCCGCACTGCACGCCGCCTACGCCGCGCAGCCGCGCAGCAGCAGCAGCAAGGCCCTGCCGCCGCTCAGCCTCGAAGTACGCCTGGCGACGCGCGGCGGCAAGGGTGGCTTCGGCAGCATGCTGCGTGCGCAGGGCGGAAAGATGAGCGCAAAGGGCAAGGACGAGAACACGGGCAGCTGTCGCGACCTCAATGGCCGGCGGCTCAGCACCATGAAGCAGGCCAAGCAGTGAGTAGCCGAAAGAGCCCTGCATCGTGCGCAGGGCGAAGATGCAGGAGCAGCTGTGGTGCCGCAGGCGTGCGTGGATGGCGCCGCGCGCGGCGCGCCCATGCCTCTCTTGCCCGCGCTAGCGCCGCGCGTCTGTCCCAATGCGGCCTCTTCCCTCGTCGCTGACACTCTTCTCCCAGGCTGGCAGAGTACCTGGCCGCCGCTCCCGCGCGCGAAGCGGCGCTCTCAGAGGCACAGGCCAAGAAGTACGCCAAGCTGGAGAAGATGCTCGGCCGGCGTCCCAAGGGCGAAAGCGACTTTGTAGAGGCGGCTCGCCGACTGGAAGAGCAGGGAGAGGGATTCGAGGAGGAGGCGGAGGGCAGTGGAGGCAGTGGCAACGAGGAGAAGGCAGAGGGAAGCTCCAGAACGCCCGTCGCGGCCGCCGCTGGCGTCAAGCGAGGCGCGCCCACGGAGCAAGAGACGGGCAAGCGCCTCAAGCTCGACGACCATGAGTACGTCGAGCAGAGCCGCGAACTTGTGCAGGGCGTCCGCAGTGCCGTGGCTGCTGGTGAGTTGCGCTAGCCGCTGCCTGAGGCATCTGCCTTTGTTGCGTGCCAAGCCGTGCTGAGCCCTGTCTGCTTCCCCAGCCATGCTCAAGAAGAAGAAGAAGAGCGCGGCTCTCGCAAAGGGAAACAAGGGCAAGAGCAAAGCCGAGGGCGCAACGGCCCCACCTGCCGAGGCCGATGCTGCTGCTGCTGCGCCCGCATAGAGTTGTGCCGCATCGCTCGCTCGCCACTCTTTCGCTCCGTCGCGCCGACGCTCTCGTCATTCTCAGCTTACGTCTCTAGGCCTCTTCCTGTACAATACGCTCACGTCACTTTCGCAATCTCTTCATCAGGACGCATGCTCATTGCGCACGACCACGCTGCCTGATGTAGTGTCGCGACAGAGAGGCAACAGAGGCGGCGCGTGTCCTAGTAAGGCGCCTGCGCCTGTGCCGGTGCCGGTGCGCCCTGCTGCGCACGCATCAGCTGCGCCTGCACCCAGTGCGGCGGCGGCGGCAGAGGATGCTGCATCAAGTGTTGCTGCTGCGGCGAAGGAAGGCCGAAGAATGCCTGCGGCGGCGGCGCTGCGTACCCCGGCGGGAGGAGATGAGGCACGGCTGCTCCGAAGGGCGCCGTTGCCCACGGAGGAGGGACGACAGAAGCGCCCAGGTGCAAGTGCGACGCAGCGCCACTGAATGCGTGCAGCGACGAGCCTGGCGGCTGTGCCTGCTGCTGCTGAGCTTGACTTTCAGCGGCGGGACTGCGAGGAGCATTGAGGAGCGCCAGCAGACCGCCCTGCCCCTGGCCGTTCGGCGCTGCGCCTTGGCTTGATGGCTGCGAAGCAGGCTGGACTCTTACTGGAGGCGGCGGCGGCGGCTGCTGCTGCTGCTGCTGCTGCTGTGCAAGTTGCGCTTGCGGCAAAGGCGGGAAACGATACTCTCTTGCTGCGCGAGCCAGCATCTCCGCTTCTGCGCTTTGCATCTGCTGCATCTGCATGTGGTGCACGTGCGAGTGCATGGGCATGTGCATCTGCTGAGGCTGCTGCTGGTAATGCTGAGCCGACGTCGGCGACTGATGAGCATGCATCTGCGGACCTGGAGCGCCATTGAGCGTCGCGAGTAGCTGCGAGCCTTGCAGCTGTCCTTGCGACTGCGGCGCCGCCGCCGCGGGATACGATGGAGGGTGCGCGGCATGTGCGTGCGCATGCGTGGGCGACACATACGAAGCGTGCGGTGGCGCAGGCGCCGATGCGCTGAGCAGCGCCAGCAGATCACGCGCTTGAGCATCAGACGGTGCCTCCACTGCGCGCGCAGGAGCTTGAGCGTTCAAGAGACCGGCCAGTAGCGCCTCGTGTTGCCGGGAGCGATCCTCGTTCTTGTCGCCGTATGTCTGTTGCTGCGGCTGCGCTTGCTGTGCCGCGAAGCTGCTCGCATGTTCCTCGTCGACGTGCGCCGCCGCAGACGAAGGCACCGAGAAGCTTCCGTGCGCCGGACTGATGAGCTTGAGCAGGCTCTGCGCATGCGCCGTGTTCTTCGCGCGCGGAGCAGGCAGTGGGGAGTCTGCGTTGCCCAGGCCTAGCGGACGTCCCTCGAGTGCATCGCCAGCCGACGCAGCGTCGCCGCGAAGCAGCGTGAGCAGCGCAGATGGCTCGCGGTTGTGCGAAGGGCGACGACGCGTTTGACTGGGACCTGCTGTCGCCGATGAGGTCGCAACGATGCGTTCGCCTGCGCCAGAACCGATGTTGAGCGCCGCCAGTAGTGCGGCCGTGCCACGCTCCCTCTCATCCAATGGCGCCTGTTCCTCGGCTTGTGCTCGCGCGCCATCGTGCGCTGCTGCATCGGCAAGCGGCGCCGCAGGACCTCTCAACAATTCGAGCAGCTGTCTACTGCGAGCGTCGCCTGCATCATCAATCATCTGTGCCCCTACGCCATTGAGTCCTTCGCCGCGCGGTCGATGCGCCTCATCTCCCGCCCGCGCTGCGTTCAGCAGCGGCGCAGGCTCAGACGCAGACGCAGACGAGCTGCTGCCCATGCCGAGCAGCGCACGCAGGCCTGCCGCGCTCGGCGCCTCCACTGGCGGTGGTGCAGGCGGCGCTGCGGCGGCGGCGGAGGAAAAGGGAAACAGGGCAGACGTGTCGGCGAAGAGCGGCGCGGGCGGTTGCGGATGCGGTGCTGCGTTGTCGGCCGCTCTGGCCTTGATGCGATCTGCACGCGGGCCCGTAGGCGCATCCGCCGGTGCGCGCAGTGCTTTTGGCGCAGTCGGCGTCTTCGGCCGCGCTTGCGACGAGCTGGCCGCCAGCTGTTTCGGCGGCGACGACGACGCAGGCGCAGCCTTGGCGTGCACCGGCAGTGGAGACGAACCTGCGGCAGCTGCCGCAGCGGCAGTGCCAGAGGGCAGCTTGCGATGCTCGCTGACCCAGCCTCGCAGACGCCCGACAAACGGAGAGACCATGTAGAACTTGCCGCCTAGCCCCGCGGCCGGCTGCTTGTCCTTCTTCCACGTCGGCAGGTCGGACAGCTTGAACCATGCAATTTTCTGGCCCGAGATGCCTCGTGAGCGTGTGCGACACAGGCAGTGCTGGGCCATGTCTGGAGCAGCGCCAGCTCGCAGCACATTCTTTAGCGAGAAGTGCCGCACCTCGCCATTCCCCATCGCATGGCCGCACCTGCTCCCCCCTCCCCCTCCCCCTCTCTTCGCGCTTTCACTCACCGAGATCTCCTTTCTCGTCAACGTCTCAAACTTGGTCGTCTCCTCCACGCCGGGCACGATGTAGAGGCGTATCCTCTGTTCCCTCATCGTCAAGTCCATGTAGTCGCTGCTCTCGCTCGGCAGCAAGTGGCCGCAGTCAAAGCCCGTCTCCTCCAGCACCTCGCGCACGGCACAGTCGCGCTCGCTTTCGTTCTGGTTGATCTTGCCCTTGGGGAAGCCCCAGGCGGCGGAAGACTTCCAGCCTTTGACGAGCAGGCACTGCGAGAGGGGCATGAGCATAGGGGCGGAAGGAGAAGCGTGGCATTCGTGTACAGAGCGGCTGGCAAGGCTTGGGCAGAGCAGCGAGGAAGCAAACGCCCGGCACCTCGCACACAGCAGCCAAGCGCGCTTGAGCTGAAGCGCGAGGCCACGGCAGCGCGCCCAGCACTTGCTCGGCAACAGAGTTGCACGCAGGCCACCGCGCCTGCCCGCTGCCAAGTCTCGTGCCGACCGTTGGCCCCTCTGCGCTCCTCTCTGCCCAGAAGCGCCTCTTGTCGCCTCGCAGCAGACTCACCTTGTCCCACGTGCGGTTCACGAGCACGACGCCGCACACGGGCACGCGCGTCTTGTAGCGCATGAACTCCTCAAACGCCAGCTGCAGTGCCGCATCGCCCGCGGCGCCCGCGGCGCCGGCGACGTAGCGCTGGATCAGCGGCACGCTGCGTGCGCTCGTGTGCAGCAGCTGCGCCGAGAAGCGGCGCAGGGACAGGGAGGGCAGCGAGGGGTTGAGGGGGCGCAGGAAGTCTTCGTAGAACCAGTGGCTGCGCAGAAGGAGGCATAAGCGCGCCGCAGTATGCCTCGCCTGCATGCCGCGCCCCACGCGCGCCCCCCACTCACGCCTGCTCGACCTGGAAGCAGATGCGCTCGATGCTGCTGAGCTCCTCGGCGGGCAGGTTGATGATGAAGCGGCTGCTGAGCTCCTCGAGAATGTCCTCGAAGGACAGGTCGGCATAGTGCGACGCGGCGGGCGCGGACCGCAGCACCATGGCGAGGGAGAGGGGCAGTGTGTGGTGGAGGTGAGGCAAGATGGGGCTGCCGAGGCGGCACCTCCTGGCGGCGCTGTGGGTGCATGGCGCGCGACAGCGACTCCTCTGCGCCCACGCTCGGGCCACCCTCGCCTGCGCTCCGCATGCAGCGCCGCGCGCGCTAGCCAAGCCTTCTTGCCCTCCTCCGCACCCTCCCCCTCCATCCACATCGCCGCGCCTGCACCACCGCACGCTGTGCCTTGCCCATGCCGCCCTCACGCTTCGCCGCGTCGCCCTGGCGCAACCTCGTCGCCACGCCCGCCAAGCCCGGCGCCGGCGCAGGGCGGCACGAAGAGCTGCCTCTCGCGGCCCCGGCCTCGGGCGATGCATCCGCCGCCGCTCTGCTGGCGCTCACGCCCGACGGCCAGGCGCTGCTGGTGCGCGGCAGCAGCGCCGGCACGCTGCTGCGCCTCGACGTGCGCGCGTCCAAGCGCCACAACAAGGCGGCGCCGCATCTCGCGGCCGCGCCGCCGGGCGAAAGCCTGGCGGCGTGGCACGTGGCGCCGTTCGACTCGCACGACGACTCGGCGATGCTGGCGGCGGGCGGCAGTGCCGGCTCCGTTGCAGTGCGGCAGCTGGGCTCGGCTGCGCATGCGTCTCTCGACGCGCCCGTCGTGGCAAGTCTCGCCTCCTCTGAACGCGCACACTGCAGCATCGCCGCATGGCACCCCACCAGCGCCGGCTTGCTGCTGGTGGGCACCGGCAGGCAACTGCGCGTATGGGACATCAAGACTGCAGAGGCGTCGCTCAAGTGGAATGTGGACGCTGCGGATGCGAGTGCTGCTGCGACTGCGGGCGCGTGGAGCCTCGACGGCACCGTGGTGGGCGCGACAGACTCGAGTGGCTCTGTGCGCTTGTGGGATCCGCGTGCCGGTGTTGAGCCTGTTCTTGTGAGTCTCAGTGCACATCAGTTCACGCCGGCACATCAGGACTCATCAGCTTGCACGGGCGCAGACGACGAGCAAAGTGCACGCTCCCGCCCGCCCCACTCGCTTCACGTTCACCGCGAGCGGCTCGCACAACTTCCTCAGCACGGGCTTCTCCTCTACTCGACAGCCCGAGTGGGCGTACTATGACGTACGCTCTCCCTCCTCTGCGGCCCAGCGTTTGGCATACGACGGCACCTCTCCGCTCGAGCCAGTCGTCGACAGTGATCGTTCCATCGTCTACTTCACCTCTCGCACTTCTTCAGCATTGCACTGGGCCGACCTCAATGCCTCCGGCACGCAGGGCACACAGCCACTCTCCTTTGCCGCCGGTGGCGCTGCTGCTCTTGCGCCCGTGGCGCCCTTACTGGACGTGATGCGAGGAGAGATTGCGAAGCTCTATGTGCCCTCGCCGCCGGGCGCCGGAGGCGACGCAATCGTGCCCGTCAGCGTCGTCGTGCCGAGACGGCAGTACATCGACTTCCACAGCGACTTGTTTCCCGACACGATGGACTGGAGGGACACGCCGCACACCGCTGGACAGTGGCTGGAGGGCCAGAATAAGAAGCTGGCGATGCTGCAGCTTGATCCGAAGCTGCGCAAGGCCGCGCCGGAAAAGAGACAGCCGACGCAGCCGATGCAGAGTCAGGCTGCTTCGGTCGCCGCTGCTGCTCCGATTGTGCCTACAGCAGCATTGCCGGCCTCGATGCAACAAGCACAAAGACAAATGCCGCAAGCTGCCTCTGGGCCTGGGATGGCGCAGAGCATCACTCCGACACCCGCAACAGCTGTCGCCGCCGAGACCGCTGCGCCTTCGAGTACGGCCTCGCAGCTCTCGCAGCCCTCGCAGCCTGCACAGCCCTCGCAAGATGCACAGCCGAGCAGTGTCGAGACGACTGCACGTCAAGCACCTAGCAACGGTGCTTCCGCCGGGAGCGCCGCCAGGTCATCGGTGCCCGCTCCCGTACGCAAGACCGCCGCTGCGCAGCCCGCTCCGACGTCCAGCATTCGCAAGACGGCCAGCGCGCCGCGTGCTTCTCCCACTGGCCCACGCTGGTCACGCCGTTTCGTCACTGCTTCCACGCCTCTCATCTCCGCATACCAGTCGCTGTCAGGCCTCGACATCTCGCGTGCTCCCGACGCCCGCATGCTCGCCGTTTCACCTCTACTTTTCGTCGTGCCGCTCTCCGGGCCCGGCGGCCGCCTCGGCGTGCATCGCCTGGCGCAGACGGGCAGGTTGCCTGCAGCACTGCCTGCCCTCTCTTCAGGCGCGGCAGTGCTGGACTTCTGCGTCGATCCGTTTGGCGACGCGCGAGTCATCGCAGCGGCAGAAGATGGCAAGGTGCGCGTGTGGGAGGTCGCTTCGCAGGCAGGCGAGACGCAGCCCAGCCTGACGCTGCAGTTGCCCGGCGCCTCTCGACCCGGAGAGATTGCGCCTCATCCGCGAGCCGAGGGACTCTTTGCCATTGCGCCGACCGACGCCGAGGGTCAGCTGCATCTTCTCGACATTCGTTCTTCCGCATCCTCGCCGCTCGCCTCGCTCGACGTGCCCGGCGGCGGAGCCTTCTCGCTGGCGTGGCGTGCCGATGGCCTTCATCTGGCGCTCGCATGCAAGGACCGCAAGCTGCGCGTCTTTGATCCTCGCACAGGCTCGAGCATCGCAGAGGTGGCCGCACATGCCTCGCCTCGCTCCTTCCGCGTCATCTGGCTCGACGAGGCGCACCTGCTTTCCGTGGGACACGGCGCGGGGTCCGCGCGTGAGCTTCAGCTCTTCAAGTTCTCCGCTGCCGCCGGCTTGACTGCCGTGGCATTTACCACGCTCGATGTGTCGCCCGCCGTGCTCTTCCCTCACTGGGACGGCGACTCGCAGGTGCTCTTCCTCTGCGCCAAGTCCGAGCCTGTCGCAGCGTACGAGGTGCGCGTCGATGCTCCTCGGCCTGCCGATGTCTTCGCTGCGCTGCCTGCCTTCCAGCATGGCCAGCCTCAGCTCGGCCTCGCCTTCCTGCCGAAGCAAAGCTGCGACGTGCAGGCCGTCGAGGTGGCAAGGGCGCTGAGGCTGACCAAGTCGGAGCTGATGATGGTCTCGTGGCGCGTGCCGCGCGCAAGGCCGGAGCTGTTTCAGGATGACGTCTTCCCGCCGACGCGCGTGCTGCAGGCGGCGACAACGGCGAGGGCATGGATGGAGGGTGAAGATGGCGCAGAGGACTCGTACGAGGACCTGTGTCCCGAGGGCATGCAGCCACGTGCGTCACTTCGCTCTCTCCCCACTCCTCAGCACGGCATCTGACGTCCTGCTCCTCTCCCAGTCTCACAGGCAGCAGCGCCAGTCAGCAAGTCGACGCACGTCAAGGGCTATGTGGCGCGCGAAGAGACGGAGTCGGAGCGTTCCGAGCGCGTGCTCAGCTCCGTCTTCGCAAAGGCAAAGATGGATGAGAATGAGGGCCCCAATGCTCGCATCAACGCGGCGGCGAGAAGAGCGCCGAGCGATGATGGCTGGGGTTCGGACTGAGCTCAGGAGCGTAGAGAGCGCCGCATGTCCGCGCGCGCGATGAAATACACGGACTGCTCTATTTGTGTTCATTGCTCACCTACTCACGGCTCGGCCAGCTTCCGCTTCAGATACTCGGCCACCTCGGCCAGCGCCACGACCTCGCCCTTGCCCTGGCCCTCCTCCGAGTCCTTGCCGCCCTGCTTCTTGACGCGCACCGTGCCGGCGGCCCACTCTTCCGGCGCAATGATGAGCGTATACGGCACGGCGTCCTTCTCGATGGCGGCCCATTGCGGCGCCGGCTTGGGCTTGGTCTTGTAGAGGAACTCGGCCTGTCGCGCATCAAGTCAGCAGCGAGGCGAGGAGGGCCTCGGGAAGGGCGACGTACCTTGACACCAGCATCCCAGAGCATCTTTGCCGTCTTCATGCGTTCCTTGAGGAAGCCGTCGCCGCCCATGCTCATCACAAACACATCCACGGGCTTTGCCCGCACGCTGCTCTTCTCGCCCGCCGCCTCCTGCTCGCGCAGGCGCGCCATCATGATGGCAAAGACGCGCTCCACGCCGATGCTCACGCCCACGCACGGCACGGCATCGGGCTTCTTGCTGCCGCTGAACATGCCGACGAGATGGTCGTAGCGTCCGCCTGCGGCGATGGAGCCGACGCCGACGGACGACTCGTCGATGTCCTCCTCCTCCTCGCCGGGCGCAAGCTTCTTCTTGGCCTTCTTCGGCGCCGGCGCCGGCGCCGAAACGGCCTGCCCCGCAGCAGGTGCCGAGGGCGGCGCAGAAGCAGCAGTGACGGCCTCGTAGATGATGCCCGTGTAGTAGTCGAGGCCGCGTGCGAGCGACAGGTCAAAGGAGATGCGATCCATGATGCCGAACACTTCGAGGAAGCCGAAGAGCAGCGCCATGTCCTTGAGGCCCTCCGAGGCCATCTTGTTGCCCGTCAGCACGGCGTCGGCAGAGAGCTTCTCGAGCAGCTCGGCACCGCCTGACATGCCACTGCGTCAGCCAACATCGCAGGCGCGTCCGGCATGGATCGGCCCACTCACCCTTCAGCTTGACGTACTCTCCAATCCGGTCGGCCACCTGCTCATCCAGTCCCTTGTCCACCGTCATTTCCCTCCTCACCTCGCTCCAGGGACTCTTGTCGAGCTTGTCCACCGCAGACGAAATCGCCCGCGTCTTGTCGGCGGGCACGCCACACACCGCAAAGAGGCCGTCGAGAATCTTGCGGTGGTTGAGCTTGACGGTGAAGTTTTCAATGCCCAGTGCGTCCAGCGCCTCGACGAGGATGAGGAGGATCTCGGCGTCGGGCACCATGGGGTCGTACACGCCGGCGATGTCAAAGTCCTGGCACGCAAGAGAGATGAGTCTCGGGGAGGGGCGGGGCAAAGCACCGGCACGGCCCAGCAGCGCGCCATTCCCCATCTCTTTCCGCCGTTGCGCGTCCCTCGCCCGCCTGGCCGTCTCGCACCCCTGCGACAGTGCATCGGCATGCGCCACTCACACACTGATAGAACTCCCTGAAGCGACCCTTGCTCAGTGCCGGCTGGTCGCGGCGGTACACCTTGGCAATGTGGTAGCGCTTGATGCTGCCATACTCGGTCGGGTTCATCGCTACGAAGCGTGCAAACGGGACCTGGCAGAGGAGAGGCGTCGGGTGCATCAGCCTTGGCTGCGCGAGACGGAGCGGCCGCGGCAGCAGAGGCGCGCGGCAACGCACCGTCAAGTCGTAGCGCAGGCTGCACAGCTCGCCGCCCTGGTCTTGCAAGTCGTAGATCAGCTTCGAGTCCTCGCCGTACTTGCCGCTGAGAATCTCGCGGCGCTCAAAGACGGGCGTGTCGATGGTCACGGCGCCGTGGCGCTGGAAGACGCGCGTGATGGCGTCGAAGATGCGCGCGCGCAGCGCCATGCTCAGCGGCTCCCAGTCGCGCGTGCCCTTGGGCGTCTTGAGCATGAAGGCCGCGGCGGGCGCGGCCTTGCTGGCGCCGGCGGCGGGCGCGTCGGCGAGGGTGAGCTGCTTGAGCTGCTCCTTGAGGCGCAGCAGCGCCTTTATCTCGGGGTCGACGACGTCGGCGGCGGCCTTTGCGATCTTGAGGTCGCGCACCTTGATGCCCTGCGCGGCCACGGCGGCGTCGAGCGCGGCGCGGTCGAGGGGCGCAGACATGCTGCAGCGGCGGAGCGGGGCGGGCGGGTGCGGGTGCGGCGGGCGGAGCAGACGGGCAAGCGGACGCAGCGCTGGGCGCATCAAGCGGCGCAGAGGGGAATGCCGCGCAGAGAGGGGTGGGCGTTGGGGAGCAAGGCGAGGAGGAGGCACGGCGCAGCGCATTTGGCGCGCTTGCTGCTCACGTGCCGCGGCGCGTTTCACAGGCGCACGTCACTGCCGTTCCCACGCCGCCTGGAGTGGCCCGCGCGCGCATGCAGCCGCACCCTGAAGCGCCTCTCTTCTCCTTGTTCCCCTCCACCACTCCCTCCTCCGCCATGGCCGCCCGTCGGCCGCCCGACTTCGCGCGCAGCGCATCCGGGCCGCGCGTGCCGTCGTCGTCGGCGTCGGCGTCGCTGCCCTCCTCGCGGCATGCACGCGTCTCCTCTTCGCAGCGCGTGCCTCCGCCGCCGCTGCTGCCGCCGCAAGTCTCCGAGGCGCTGGCCCAGCTGCCGCCCGCAGCCGAGTGGCCGGCGCTCGCATTCCACGCCACCGTCATCGCGCCCCTCGCCGCGCTCGCACGCACCATCGTCGCGCTCGTCGTCTCGCCGCGCACGCATCGCCTCGTGCTGCGCCTCGGCGTCCTCTCCGCCGTCGTCTGGGCCGCGCTGGCCCTCGCCGTCGTCGCATACGTGGGCTTCTATCGCGCCTGGGTGCCCGACATTGGCCACACGTTTGACGTCTGGCTGCACTACGGCGCAAAGGGCGTGCCCTGGGCCGAGTTCCCCATGCTGCCCGCGCAGCAGGGCGCGCTGCTCTTTGCGCGCGACCAGGAGTATGATGTCAGCCTGGACCTGGCCGTGCCGCTGAGTGCGGCGAACCTCGACCTTGGTGCGTCACACGCAAAGCACATGAAGCGGTGCAGAGCACTGATGCGGCGTGTTTCCAGGCAACTTCATGGTCTCCCTTGACCTGCTCACTGCATCCAACATCTCCGTGCACTCCGTCTCTCGTTCCGTACGTGCCGCCGTCTCTCATCCCACCACATATGATCGCTGACCTCTTCTTCTTGGGGGCCGGCACATGCAGGCAATCATCACTCAAGTGCCCGCGGCTCTTCGAGCAATCGAGGCCTTCACGCATACCCTGACGCGCGCCGACCCACTGATCCTGCCTCTTTCCACGAACCCCACCACCATTCTCTCTCTGCCTCTGCTTCGTCGACAGATCCTCGTGCCCGCCGCCTCGTCGCATCCCTTCACGCCGCGCCCCGACCCCGTCGTGCGCGCACGCGTGCGCGTCGGGAGGGAGGATGCGGAGCTGTATTGGAAGTACGGAGGGGGACATGGAGTGGGAGGTGTGAGAGAGGGAGGCACAGTCGTCGGCGTCACCGATGGCTTCCGCAGCCGTGGCGAGTTGCAGACCACTCGAGTGCAGCTGCGCATCGATGCGCATCTCAAGGGCCTTCGGTGAGTGCCCCCCTGGCCCTCGGCCGTGCACCCCCGCCGCTCGTCTCGCTACGCTCACATCGCTGACTGGCCTTCTGCGACGCAACACAGATACTTCATGTTCCACCATCCCGTCGCCTCCTTCCTCCTCTTCACTTCACTCTTCATGACGTTCGAGCTCGTCTCCGCCTTGACTCTCTGGGCGCTCGCAGCACTCTACACCTCCTCGCTCGGCCCGGGCGCCTCATTGGCTGTCGAGGACAACTACGTCGACCGCGAGCGCGAGAGGACACGTCGTCGTCGCCGCCAAGACTCGGACGAGGAGGCGACGACGCCGGGTGGAGAGGCCACTCGAAGCACGCAAGAGAGTCGTTCGACAAGCAGCGAGGCTGATGAGCAATCGGCGAGCGACGAGACAGAGACGGAGACGGATGTGCGCGCGCGCAGCCTGGCGTCGTTGCGCGCGCGCGACGAGGCGGAGCGGCAGGAGGCGCGCCGCCAAGAGCAGCTGCGCGACTTGGCCGAGGGCCGCCGCATGGCGGGAGTGGATGAAGAGGTGACGGGCAGACGACGCGTGCTGGATCGGCTCGACGAAGAGACGGAGGAAGACACGGACGTGGGCGACAGTGCGGGCGCGGGCACGTGGGAGGAGGTGGATGTTGAGGAGGAGGAGAGAATGGCGGGCGAAGAGGAAGAGGAGGATCAGGAGGAGCAGGCTCGACGCGCAGGCCTTCGACAGAGGAAGGGCGAGCCAGAGAGAGAGAGTACCGTTGGCGGCGTGAGTTTGCTGCCCCACTCAGCTCCGTCTAGTTGAGCGGTGCCCACTGACACATGCCGTTGGACAGTCGGCCACCTCTCGCGCCTCCTCTCGCTCCTTCACTCCCTCCTACGCTCCCTCTTCTTCCCAAGCAACGACGTCTCGCGCCTCTTCGTCGTCTGCTAGCACCATCCGTGGCCGTTCCGAGGAGCCTTCTTCCTCTTCGTCGCAGGCGCAGCCGCAGCGGCAAGAGGCAGCGATCAAGGAAGAGCCGGAGGAGAGCGCCGGCTCAAGCACGCCGTCGGGCGCCAGTGCCAGCTCGCAACGCTCCGACGGCGGGGGCGAGGCGGATGTGGAGCAGGACTGAAAGTCGAGGGCCGCAGATGGACCTGCCGGGCTCCCTGTCACGGCCACGTACAAGACGCATGCGATGACTTGAATGAAGCACTGATCTGCACGCGCATGAGACGTTCAGAGCGCATGAAGCGAGACATTTGTGACATTTAGTTGAGAAAGAGGGTTGGGGGGGCTACATGCGGTATACGCCCTGTCCATGTCGATTGCCATCCCAAGCCGGATGAGCCTCTCCCCTCTCCTTGGATCTTCTCCTTCCCTCCATCGCCACCTGCAGTCCCAGAGCCAAGGCGCCTCGCGTGTCCTGCGGCCGAATGACGCCGTCGTCCCAGAGGCGCGCACTTGCGTATTCGGGCGTCGACTGCGCCTCGATCTTGTCCTTGAGGCCGGCCATGCGCGCCTTGTCCGACGAGACACTGCCCATGACCGACTCGAGCTGGTCGCCGCCCATGACGCCCACGCGCGCATTGGGCCACATCCACAGGAAGCGAGGCTGGTATGCTCGGCCATTCATGCCGTAGTTGCCTGCGCCGTAGCTTCCGCCCACCTGTGGCGAGGGTAGGCCAGGCCCCAGTCAGCCTCTCTCTCTCTCACTGCGCATCCTTTTTGCCCCCAACCTTGCCGCTTCCCTCTGCGGCAAGCAGCAGCACAACTCACGATGACCGTCAACTTGGGCACGTCGGCGCACGCCACGGCGCGCACCATCTTTGCGCCGTCCTTTGCGATGCCTCCTTGTTCCGCCTTGCTGCCGACCATGTAGCCAGTGACGTTGACGAGAAAGACGAGCGGCGTGCCGCGCTGAGAGCACATCTGCACAAACGACGTCGCCTTCTTTGCCGATTCGCCAAACACTAGAGAGCAAGACGCGAGAGCATCAGCACCAGGGGGCGCAAGGGGGAGAAAGAGAGCGAGAGAAAGAGGGGACAGACTCACGGATGCCGTTGTTTCCAATGATGCCCACCTCCTGGCCCGCAATCTTGGCAAAGCCACACACGAGCGTCGTGCCGTAGAGCTTCTTGAACTCGTGGAACCTGCTGCCATCCACGATGCGCGCAATCACATCGCGCATGTCGAATGGCTGGCGCAACGACGCCGGGACGATGCCGTCCAGTTCGGCCGCTGGATAGAGGGGCTCTTCGAAGGCTGAAGGCGCCATGAGGGGACGCGGAGCATAGGAGGAGCCGAGGTTGGAGATGCAGGAACGTGCCAGCGCCAGGGCGTGCGCGTCGGAAATGGCAAGGTGGTCTGTCACGCCTGACTCGCTGGAGTGCATCTCGCCGCCGCCGAGCGTCTGCGCAGAGAGGGTGAGCATCTGGGTCGCCGCGATGGCAGCCAGTCCAACCTGAATGTAGCTCTTCTTTGCCCTCCTTCACCCTCCCTCTCCTCCGACTCCTCCCGCAGCAAGCGCACATGGCCAGGGACTCACCTCATCATCCACCACCTCTCCCAGCGCCGCCTTGACGAGGGGCGGACCCGCGAGAAAGATGGTGCCTTGCTTGCGCACAATGATCGTCTCGTCTGCCATGGCGGGCACGTCTGGTCGCAGTCGGGTGCGTCTGAGCCACGTGCCGCGGTGCACTTGCAGCCGCCTGGGCGCGTAGCGCATGTCACTCACATGCTCCGCCAGCCACGCTGATGCCGTGCACGACTGAGATTTGCGGGATGCCCAGTGCGCTCATCTGTCCTCTCGCGCCTGCATCAGCCCTCGTTGCCTCTCCCTTGCTTCACCGGGCAAGCCTCACCTGTGCCATCTCCCTGAAGATCCTGCCAAAGTGATCGGCGTCCGGAAACACCTCTGCCTGATGCGGCAGTGCCGCGCCTCCACTCTCGACGAGGTAGACGCACGGCAAGCGATTCTCACGCGCGATTTGCTGTGCCCGCAGATGCTTCTTGACGGTGATGGGATAGTACGAGCCGCCCTTGACGGTCGGGTCGTTTGCGAGGATGAGGGTGGGCGTACTGGCGTGGAGAAGGATGAGTGCGGGGGCAAGCATGACGCGACGGCGGTGCAGCTGGAGGTGTCGGATGTGCCAGACTCACCCCTCCACATTGCCGATGCCCGTCACGACGCCCGCGGCGGGGATATCTTCGCCGTACATCTCATGGCCCGCCAGGGGGCTCAGCTCGAGAAACGGGCTGCCGGCGTCGAGCAGCGCGGCGATGCGCTCGCGCGCAAGCAGCTTGCCCTTGGCCGTGTGCCGCGCACGCGCCTTGTCGGAGCCGCCGCGGGCGATGCGCGAGTGCAGGGCGTCGAGGCGCGAGACGAGGCCCTGCATGGCGGCGGCATTGGCCTGGAACTCGGGCGAGGCAGAGGAGATGGTGGAGGGCAGGATGGAGGTGGCCTGCGAGAGCGTGGCGACGCTGCGTGCGGCGCGCCGAGGGAGCAGCTGGCCGGCGCGCGGCAGGGCATGCAGAAGAGACATGGCGATGCGAGGGATGGTGGTGGAGCAGCGCGAAGTCAAGCAGACGGAGCAGACTGAGAGGCGCTTGCGCTTGTGCCCGCCCCAGCGATCCGAGCCGGCCCAGGAACCGCTGCGCCAAGGCACGTCCGTCCGCCAGCGCAGGCGGGGCGGGGCCGCGGTCCTTTCCCCGCATCGCGCCTCGTCTTCCGCGGCCGCGTGGGGTGCCGCGCGGTTGCCGGCGCCGGAGGCCCAGCTCACGCCCAGCCAACGCACGGTGCGGCCGTGCCTCGACATCTCGCTTGCTCGCACAGCCCGCAGACACAGCATGCAGCGCATACTTGTAGCCAAGTCTCTTGCTCCGAGAAGAGGAGGCGCACGCCCTGCCAACGGCATGCGGCTTGGCCGGCAAAGACGGCGCGGTGCGGCTTGCACCCTGAGCCGTGCGCTCGCTGCTCCCACGCTCGCGAGCGCGACTCTGCGGCTCGGGGCGAGTCACCTCGCTCTTTTTGGATTTCGAGTTGCGGCGTCGGCTGCTCGAGCTCCTTCGCGCTCGAGCTTCTCGCCGCCTCGGCTTCCTCCCACGCCTCCCACCTCCCTCTCTCCCTCACCCCGCTGCGTCTGAGTCTGCTTGACCACATCGCAGGCCAACTGCAGCAAATCGCCCTCCTCTCTCTGCCCGCCAGCTGTCGCGCAGAGCCGCCGCCGCCTGCCTGTCCGAGGCGCTCTCTTCTCCGCGCCTCCCGCACGGCACCCGCCGCTGCCCCCGCCCTTCACGTCGCCCGCCATGAGTGGCCAGGACGCCTTCCCGGCGCATGACCGTGAGTAGAGGCTGCTGCGAGGCTGCGTCGCCACGCTGCTCTCGGGCGCTGCATCGCGCGCTGCGAGGCTGCCGCGAGCGTTGCTCCAGCGCCGGCTGGCGGCGGGCGCCCGGTGCCTCGACAGCTTGGCGCGTCTCTGTCGGCGCTGCCTCGCCGAGGCCCCCCGCCGCTGCTGTCAGCTGCAGCACCGCATCTCTCGTGCTGCCGTGCTCACATCGCATCCGCAACAGCGACGAGCCACTTCAAGTTCCCCGAGCAGGAGCAGGCCGTGCTGGAGCACTGGCGCCAGATCGACGCCTTCAAGACGTCGCTCAAGCAGAGCGCGGGCAAGAAGCCCTTCACCTTCTTCGACGGGTGAGTGTGTGCCCGTGGCCGAGCGTACGCCGTGGGCCAGCAGGGCTGAGCCCCGTCGCTGCCTCCCAGCCCGCCCTTCGCCACGGGCCTGCCGCACTACGGCCACCTGCTCGCCGGCACGATCAAGGTGCGTAGCAGCGCGCGGTGCCGCAGCACATCGCGGCGGCGCCTCACACTTTGCGGCAGGACATCGTCACGCGCCATGCCCACGCCAGCGGCTTCCACGTCGAGCGGCGCTTCGGCTGGGACTGCCACGGCCTGCCCGTCGAGCACGAGATTGACAAGAAGCTCGGCATCACGGGCAAGGCCGACGTGATGAAGATGGGCATTGCCGCGTACAACGCCGAGTGCCGCGCCATTGTCATGCGCTACCAGGGCGAGTGGAAGCAGACGGTCGAGCGCATGGGCCGCTGGATCGACTTTGACGGCGGCTACAAGACGCTCGACCGCACCTTCATGGAGAGTGTGTGGTGGATCTTCGGACAGCTCTTCCAGAAGGGCCTCGTGTATCGCGGCATGAAGGTCATGCCCTACTCGATGGGCTGCACCACGCCGCTCTCCAACTTCGAGGCCGGCCTCGACTACCGCGACGTCTCCGACCCGGCCATCACCGTCTCCTTTCCGCTCGTCGACGACCCAAAGACGGCGCTGCTGGCGTGGACGACGACGCCGTGGACGCTGCCGTCGAACCTGGCGCTCTGTGTGCACCCCGACTTTGACTACATCAAGGTGTACGACGAGGAGAAGCAGATGAACTTCTGGCTCCTCGAAAAGCTCCTCACGACGCTGTACAAGGACCCCAAGAAGGCCAAGTTCAAGAAGGTCGGCAGCGCAAAGGGCAGCGAGATGGTCGGCTGGAAGTTTGAGCCGCTGTTCCCGTTCTTCGTCGAGAAGGTGAGGCGCGACACTGTTCGCTGCGATGCGCCCTGCATCTGCTCACACACACACCGCCCACAGTACAAGGACACGGCCTTCGTCGTCGTCTCGGACACGTACGTCACCGCCGATGCGGGCACGGGCATCGTGCAGCAGGCGCCGGCGTTCGGCGACGACGACTACCGCATTGCCGTCAAGCACGGCATCTGCACGCGCGAGAACCCGCCGCCGTGTCCGATCGACGAGTCGGGCCGCTTCACGGCCGAGGTGCCCGACTATGCCGGCGTCAACGTCAAGGAGGCCGACAAGCAGATCCAGAAGGACATCAAGGCGCTGGGGCGCATGGTGGTGCAGAACACGCTCATGCACTCGTATCCCTACTGCTGGCGCTCCAAGACGCCACTCATCTACCGCACCATTCCGGCGTGGTTTGTGCGCGTCGAGGACATCTGCGAGCGCCTGCAGAAGCACAATGCCGGCACGCACTGGGTGCCCACGTGGGTCAAGGAGAGCCGCTTCGACCACTGGCTCGCCAATGCGCGCGACTGGAACGTCAGCCGCAACCGCTACTGGGGCACGCCCATTCCGCTCTGGGCCAGCGAGGACATGGAGGAGGTCGTCTGCGTCAGCTCCGTCGAGGAGCTCGAGCGCCTCTCGGGGCGCACGGGCCTCACGGACCTGCATCGCGAGAGCATCGACGACATTACCATTCCCTCGCAGCAGGGCAAGGGCACGCTGCGGCGCATCGAGGAGGTGTTCGACTGCTGGTTCGAGTCGGGCAGCATGCCCTACGCGCAGGCGCACTACCCCTTCGAGAACAAGGACACGTTCGAGACGGGCTTCCCGGGCGACTTTGTCTGCGAGGGCATCGACCAGACGCGCGGCTGGTTCTACACGCTCCTCATCCTCGGCACGCATCTCTTTGACCAGGCGCCGTGGAAGAATCTCATCGTCACCGGCCTCGTGCTCGCCGGCGACGGCAAGAAGATGAGCAAGAGTGCGCGCAACTACCCCGACCCCACGCTCCTCTTTGACAAGTACGGCGCCGACGCCGTGCGCCTCTACCTCGTCAACTCGCCCGTCGTGCGCGGCGAGAATCTGCGCTTCCGCGAGGAGGGCGTCAAGGATGTGCTGGCCATGGCCTTCTTGCCGTGGCTGAACAGCTTCCGCTTCTTCCTCGGCCAGGTGGCCATGCTCAAGAAGATGACGGGCAAGGAGTTTGCCTACGACGCCGCGGCGCCCAAGAGCGACAACGTCTTTGACCGCTGGCTGCTGGCGCGCTGTGCCAGTCTCATCCAGTGGGTCGGCGACGAGATGGCGGCGTACCGCCTGTACACCGTCATGCCGCGGCTGCTCAGTCTCATCGACGAGCTGACGAACTGGTACATTCGCTTCAACCGGCAGCGCCTCAAGGGCGCCGGCGGCGAGGCCGACACGTATGCGGCGCTCAACACGCTCTTCGAGACGCTCTACACGCTCTGCCGCACCATGTCGAGCTTCACGCCCTTTCTGACGGAGAACATCTACCAGGGCCTGCGGCCCTTCCTGCCCGCGCCGGCGGCAGACGACACGCAGGACTACCGCAGCGTGCACTTCCTGCCCTTCCCGGCAGTGAACCAGCAGTACCTCGACCCGGCGATCCAGCGGCGCTTCGCCGCGCTGCAGACCGTCATTGAGCTGACGCGCACGCTGCGCGAGCGCAACAACCTGCCGCTGCGCTCGCCGCTCAAGGAGCTCGTCGTCTACCATGCCGACGGCGCCTTCCTCGAGGATGCACAGTCGCTCTCGTCGTACATCGAGGAGGAGCTCAACGTGCGCGAGGTGCGCTACACGAGCGACGAGGCCGCGTGCGGCGTGCGCTACAAGCTGCAGGCCGACTGGCCGGTGCTGGGACGCAAGCTGCGCAAGGACATGCCCAAGGTCAAGGCTGGCCTGGAAAAGGTGAGCTCGGCAGAGTGCAAGCAGTACCTCGACCGCAAGACGATCACCGTGGCGGGCGTCGAGCTCGTCGAGGGCGACCTCAGGGTGCTGCGCTACGTCGACCTCGAGGGCCGCGCGGGACAGTGGGACCACAACGGCGACGGCGCCGCCGTGGTACTGCTGGACATCGAGGCGCGTCCCGAGCTCGTCTCGGAGTTCAACGCCCGCGAGCTCGTCAACCGCATCCAGCGGCTGCGCAAGAAGGCCGGCCTGCAGCCGACCGACGACGTCGATGCGTTCTACAGCTTCGAGCAGGGCCTCGGCGAGGCGCTGCAGCAGGCCTTTGCCGCGCAGCCAGAGGTGTTTGAGAAGGCCATCCGCCGCGTGCCCATGCCCGTCGCACAGCGGCCCGAGGGCGCCGCCATCATCATGGAGGAGGAGCAGGAGATTGGCGACGAGAAGTTCAGCCTCAGCCTCGTGCACGCATAGAGCGTCTCCGGCCTTGCCCCGCCAAAATGATACACTAATGTCTAGAGTCTGGTATTGCGTCGTCGTTTGTCTGTGTGTCACCGCTTGGTGCCGAACGAGCCGAAGCCCATCATGGCCGCCATCGCTGCGTCCTCGTCCGTCTGCGGCAGCGGCGCTGCCTTCTTGCGCTCCTTTGCCTCGCGGCGCTGCCGCTTGCGCCGCTCCTTCTCCTCCTGCTGCGCCTGTGCAATGGCTGCCAGGCGCGCCTCAAAGTCGTACGTCTCTGCCCGCGAAGCGCCGGCGGCCGTCTCGGCGCGCAGCTGTGCCAGTGCCTCGCGCACCTCGTCGAGCGTCGAGCGCGCCACTTGCGTAGTCTGCCCGATGCGGCGCAGATCTGCGAGGGGGCCCCAGCATCAGCTCGCTGCGGTGTGGGTGTGCATGCGTGGCAGACGGGCCACTCACGCATGCGGCCGTTGATGTGGTCCAGATAGCCAATGCTGTCCTTGCACGTCCGCTTGCAGATCTCGCAGTAGTAGCCCGGGCCGCGCCGCCCGCCTCCCTCGCCCACCACGTCGACCATGAGTGTCTTGCCGACATTCTTGTCGAGCTCAAGCGGGTTCTCGCGCGCCTTGAGCGACTCGGTGGCCTTTGGCAGTTCCTCTCTGCGTCGCGCTGGCTTCTTGCCTGTATCGCGGAAGCTGCCGAGTCAGCCACACAGCTGCGTTGCAGGCATGCTGCTCATCCCTCGTGCGACACCACACGCACCCTTCAGCAGGCGCTCCTGGTTCTCCTTTGCCCGCTCCCGGTCCTCGTCGTCGCGGCTCTTTGCCTTTTCCATGTACTCCTGCTTGTCCCACGTGCGCCGCGACGGGCCGACGCCGGCGCCGCCGCCTGCTGCTGCTTTCGGCATGATGATGAGGTGTGCAGGCTGCTGCTGCGGCGGCGTGATGGAGGCAGAGCTGGGCGAGAGTGCAAGAGAGGACGAGGGAGGATGTGGTGGAGAGACAAGCCGGAATGTCGCGACGATGTGCCGAATACAGCGGCGCGGGGCGACTTCAACTGCAGTTGTAGCTGGCGCGGGACTCGGGCAATGCCTGCCTCCACCTCACAGCGTCAGCAGTGCCCAGGCACCCTCCCCTCCCTCACCTCCTCCAAGCAAGCACGCACCGAGAAGCCATTCAGAATGTGCCCGGGAAGCAGCACGCACGCCCAGCATGCGGACACGCGCGAGACGGACGGGCAAGAGGCGCCAGAGGGGACGTGGCAGCTGCTCGTCGACGTGAGTGCCGCCTGCATGACATGCCTCCTCCCGCCGGCTGACAAGAGGCACCTCGCTGGCTCGTTCTGCTCCTGTAGGGTGCGCACGATGATGTCCAATCGTCCGAGAGAGTTTCATCCTGACGTCTCTGTGCAGTGCACTGTCACCCAACCGACGACCCCTCGCCGTGGGCCGACATGGAAGCACACGCCGCCAAGTTTGCGCACGTCAAGCTGGGCGAGGCAGTGGCGATGAGCACCTGTGCTCGCGACCAGGCGCTCGTCGCCGACCTGGTGCGCCGCAAGGGAAGCAAGGTACGGCCTGCATTTGGTGCGTAGTGGCCGGATTTGCGATTGCGGGCCGAGGGTACATGCACGCGCTGAACGTCCGTCTCTCGACGGCAAAGGCTACCATCCGTGGTTCGTGCACACCATCAGTCTAGAGCATCCTGCGCCAAGCGCCGAGCAGCACTACCGCTCCTTGTTCGGCGGCGCAAGCGCCACAGAAGCACAACTCGCGGATCTCGAAGAGCTGCTGCCTCATCTGCCTGCGCCTGTCTCGCTGCAAGACACGCTGGCTACGCTGCGGGGCAATCTCGAGGCTCATCCTTCTGCCCTGCTGGGCGAGGTAGGCATCGATCGAGCCTTCCAACTGCCCGTCTCGCCCGCTGGCTATACGCTTGATCCGGCAGTTCGGGGACCCGCACTGGCCAAGAAACAAGCGGAAGAGACGCATTCCTTGGGGCGTCGTTCGAGAGCGCTGACGCTCCTGAAGACGCCGCTGGAGCATCAACTCAGCGTGCTGACGGCACAGGTGGAGCTCGCAGTGAAGCTGCGGCGCAGCGTAAGCATGCACTCTGTCAAAGCCCCTGGCGCCACTCTGCAGTGGCTCGACGAGATGAAGAAGCGCTTACCGAGCGCGACGCCGTCGCTTGCGGGCATGAGCAAGCGCAAGAGAAGGGCTGTGGAATTGGCGGCGCGTAGTCGCGAAGCAGCTGCGGGTCCGGCCAAGGCGGATGACAAGCCATCGCCGCCGGGCTTCGAGGACATCAGTAAGTTGCATGCGCTAGGCCTAGTTGCCCGGCCGTCCTCTCCGCTAACGAGCGCTGCAGACCTAGACCTGCATTCCTGCTCGCTGTCACCGCTGCAACTGCAGCAAGTCCAGGTACGGGGTCTGTAAGCTTTTCGAGCTGGAGAAGGCACTGAGCGTCTCTCATACCGCCCTAGGAGAAGCATCAGAACGTCTATGCCTCCTTCTCCACGTGAGGGCGTGCGCCACTCGGCACACACGAGGCGTCACTGACGCTCTCGCCTGTGGTCTCCCGCAGCACCATCAATCTGCGACAGCAAGCCTTCCACTCGCAGCTCTCCGTTGCCGATCCCCAACGCGTGCTCATCGAGTCAGATTGGCACAGTGCCGCTGGCCTCGCGGCGCGCACGTGGGCCGTGTGTCGACTGCTCGTCGATGCGCAGGGAGAGGAACTTACAGGGCCGTTGCCGAAGGATACAAGCGAGGAGGGACGCTATCGTCTTGGAGCGGAGGCGTTGCAACGCAATTGGAGGCGGTTCGTGGGCGAGACTCAAGCTTGAGACACGACAGTGCGCAGCGGAGGGCATGGAAATACAATTGCGAGGAAAACCCCCCCCCCCAACCTCTCTCTCTTTCTCTACCGCTTGCCGCGTGCAGCCTGCTTATTACGCTTGACGGCCTTATCAAACGTGCTCCTCTTGGTGCCGGGCGCATCTGGCACTTCAAACGTGCCTCCCGTCTTTTCGCTCTTCGTTCTGGCGCGTACCAGCGCGTTCTCTCTCCTTCCTCTGAGGCCATCGTACGCATCGTCGGCCTTGCGCTTGCGTACATGCGAGTTGAGCAGGCCACCAAACTCCTCCTCCAGGCCAGCTGCGCCTCCGCCACGTGCGCCGCCCAGCGCCACCGCCTCCTCTTCGCGCCGCCGCTTCTTGGCGTCCTTTGCGCTCGTCGCCAGGCGCGTCATGTTTGCCTCCTCGTACGCCTCGACGCGCGCCAGGGCGGCCGCGCGCGCAGAGCGGTTCGCAATGCCTCCGCCCAGGCCGACGCCGCCCGACGAGGCCTCGTGCGGGTTCTCCGAGAGCCCAGTCGTGAGGTCGGCAAGCAGGGCTTGTGAGCGTCCAGCGCTCGCGTTGTTGCGAGTGCGGGAAGAGGAGGCCTTGCGCTCTCCATCATATGCTACGGGCGCCAGACGAGGCGGTCGGTAGACGCCTGAAGAGGCGTTTGCTTCGTCGTCGTCTTCCGCCTCGACGGGCCGCGAGAGACGCGAAGAGGCACTCAGTGCGGCGAGGTTGGGGCGGAACGAGACGAGTGCTGGGCACTGGCAGTCAGCATACGGCCGTATGCCGGTGTGCGACTTTCTGGCTTGTGCGTGTGCCAACTCACTGTCCTCTGCCTCATCGTCATCTGCGGCGTCCGGCCCTCCCTTCTTCTCGGCCGCCTCGGCGGCGCGCAGCAGGCGATCAATGCCGCTCTTTGCGCGCGCCTCGATGGGGCGGGCCTTCTCAAGGCAGAGGCGCAGCCGCAGCAGGCTGCGCACGAGGCCGTCGCCACGCTTGTCGGTGAGCGAGTGTCCGCGCAGACGGTGGGCTTGCAGCAGAAGGAAGGCGTGCGTGTACTCGTGCAGCAAGGCGGGCTTGAGTGCGAGCAAGGAGTGCCGCGCGGACGATGCGGCCGACGCGGGCGAGGCAGAGGAGGAGGGCAGCTTGACGCTGCGGAGCGAGGCGAGCAGCGAGGGCAGCAGCGTGGCGAGGTCGGCGGGTGCTGAAGCCGCGGCGGAGGCGGCAGAGGTGCTTGCCATGGTGCCGAGCAAGTGGAGCGGCTGCGAGAGCGATGCGAAGAGGGCGTGGTGGAGCGAAGCACGGCCGCCTGCTTGGCGAGCGTGGCACGGAGAGGCACTTTTCGCTTACCTAAGCTCAGACCAGCACAGCTCCGCGGCTCTGAGACGCGTCCTGTTGCTCTCTCCACAGCGCCGCGCGCGGCGCGTCGTGTCATGTTGGAAGGATGGCGCTCGCGACCTTCTCACCCTCACCCTCCCTTGCCGCCTTGCTCTTGCCCGCCAGCGCACACAGCATGTCCGCGCCGCCGCGCCGCGGTGCAGCCGTACGTGCCGCCGCGCGCATGGCGCGCCTCTCGCCGCCGTCCTCACCTCGCGCACACGACCAACGCGGCAGCAGCGCCGCGAGCTCCAGCAGCAGCAGCAGCAGCGCAGCAGCGCCGGCGCACGAGGGCGCGAGCGACGACGAGCGCCAGGCCGCTGCTCCGCGCAAGCGCAGACGTGTCTCGCCAGCACGCTCCGCCGCTGCGGTCAAACACGCAGCAGCCAGCCCGCTTCCTCGCCGCACTGCAAGTGCGCCGACAAGGCGCAAGCGCTCCGTCGGCGCCGCCGAATGGGCCTTCCTCGACGCGGCCGAGCCGCATGTGCAGGCCGTGGCAGTGCCTCCGCTGCGGGTGCACGCGCGAAGCTACCACGCTCCGCTGCTGCTGGCACCACCCTCTACCGAGCGCCCCGACGGCGCCGTGCTGGGCCGCGCAGCCCGCTCGGCGCTGCTGGGCTGGTACGACGGCGTGGCGCAGCAGCGCGCCATGCCGTGGCGCAAGCCCTTTCTCGATCCCGCCGCCTACATCGGGCGCGAGGCCGAGCTCCGCGCAGCGCAGACGCAACGAGCATACGAGATTTGGATCTCCGAGATCATGCTGCAGCAGACGCGCGTCGAGACGGTGATTCCGTACTTCGAGCGCTGGCTGGCTGCCTGGCCGACGGTGCGAGATCTGGCTGCTGCCTCGACAGACGACGTGCTGGCAGTATGGAAGGGCCTGGGGTACTACTCTCGCGCCACGCGCCTGCAGAGCGGTGCGCAGAAGCTCGTCGCCGATCCGGAACTGCGTGGGCTGTTGCCGCGCACGGCGCACGAGCTCGTCGCCGTCGTGCCTGGGGTGGGGCCTTACACGGCAGGCGCGATTTCTGCTATTGCATTCGGTGAAGCTGCGCCTATGGTCGATGGCAATGTGCAGCGCGTGCTAAGTCGCCAGCTGGGCTTGTATGCCAGCATGAAGAGCAGCGCGACGACGCAGCTGCTCACCGAAGTCGCATCGCGCCTCGTACGCGCCGTGGCTGAAGATGGGGAGCCCAAAGGTAGTGCAAAAGGCTCAACGCCAAAGCCCAGCGATCGCCCGGGACGCTGGGGACAGGCTCTTATGGAGCTCGGCGCGTGAGTGTGGCGCCTCATGATGGTGCAGAGCGTTCAGCGTCCACACTCGCTGAACTCTCGCCACCCCCCCCCCCTCTCTCAGGACGATCTGCAAACCGAAGCCCGAGTGTCTCCGCTGTCCGATCTCCAGCACGTGTCGCGCATTCGCAGAGGTGCGTCATGCTGCGCTTCTCGCTCTTGCACTTTTCCCATCGCTGATTGCAGCGCGGCTGTTTTGAACAGGGAGAGGCACTGGCGCGCAAGCCGCTCAGCAGACAAGAGGCAGTGCCGGACATGGAGGACATGTGCGACCTCTGCGAGCCGCTGAGCGACGATGACGAGACCAATGCGGCTGCGCCTGCGCCTGTCGCGACGGCGGCCAAAAAGGTCGGAGGGGCCGTGCAGACGAAGCTGAGCTTCGGCGCCAAAAGCAAGGCCGCCGTCAAAGTCGCGGAGCCGAGCGCTGGGATCGAAGTGGCGATTGAGCGCCACGTCAGGCGCTTCCCGAGGAAGACGGAGAAGAAAGAGGCGCGCCTGGAGCAGTGTGTCGTGTGCATCCTGAGGCGCGAGGATGGCCGTGTGATGCTTGAGCAGCGACCCGAGCACGGTGCGTCCTCTCCCCTTTCTGCGCCCTGCGCCTAGACGGGAAAGACAAAGGCAGCACTGCCGCGACTGACAGCTTTGTCTCTCTAGGTCTACTGGCCAGCCTCTTCGAGTTTCCAGCGACGCCGCTGCGCTCCGACGACCTCTCTTCCTCCGCGCAGCGTGCCTTGGCTCTCTCGCACGCCACTCTCGTCTCGGGCGGACAAGCCTCGTACGTGCGCAGCGCAGGCAGCATCACGCATCTCTTCTCGCACATCCGCCTCGTCATGCACGTGCATGAGCTGCGCGTCCCTGAGGCGCCCGCGAAGCCGAACGGGGAGAGGAGAAAGTGGTACGCAGAGGAAGAGGTGGAGAAGCAGAGCATCTCGACGGGGAACGCGAGGTGCTGGGCGCTCGCGCAGGGAAAGACGAGCAAGAAGGGAAAGGAGAAATGAGGGACAAGACTACATACCTTCTGTCCATCTCCTCCCCCGCCGACCTCTGCCTCACATCACATCGATACCCCTCAAATTTCATCTTTCCATTGCTCCGTCCCCTACTCCAGCACCTGCCAAGCCTCATCGAGCAGCTCCTCGTGCACCTGAAAGTGTCTGAGCGGCTGACCCTCCTGTACGATGACGCCATCTGCCTTCCATCCCTGCTCCGTCCTCGTCAGAGCATCGCGGCTGTAGCGCGCCACGAAGCGTCCCAGCAACGCGCCCGTCTTGAGGTTGCGCGTCTCGGCGAGGATGCGCTCGGGCAGCGCTGCTCCTTCAGAAGCGTCGGCGATGGGGACGGAGGCGGGCGCAGCGAGGGAAACCTCCCATGTTGCGAAGGGCCGCTCGGTGGGACGAATGACGGAAGGGTCGAAAATGGTGGTACGCAACGGCTGCATGCGCCAGCTGTACGTGTCGAGCTCGATGGCGTGGCTTTTGCGCGTCGCAGTCGGCGCCAAGAGCTGCATGTGACTGGCGTAAGGCCCGCCGACAAAGGCGATGAGTCCAGTGGCAGACGCCGAAGTGGCCAGCACGGCGCCCGAGACGCCAAGGCGCGCAGAGAGGGGCATGGTGCCCGGCGCCAGGAGCAGCGCAGGAGTGAGGCCGATGGAGAGGGACAGAGTGGTGAGGGAGAAGAGCTTGAGCCGGCGGAACATGCGAGCCATGGGCGCCGTGTAGGTGGCTACCACTTGCCGCTCCGAGGCAGACGAGGCCGAGCCAGAGCTGGAGGCATCGGTGGACTGTGCGCGGGCGCCGGACAGCACTGGCGTGCGTGGCCGAGCAGGCACGCCGACGGCACACAGCAGCGAGCGCGCTGGTGCCGGCGCATGGCTGTGCCGTAATGTCGGTGCCGCAAAGGCGCTGGCGGACGGAGTACGCAGACTCGAGGCGCAAGAGAAGGCGCGCACGGCCGGTGCCGCTGCACGCACGGCGAGGCGGCGCGCGGAGCTAGAGGCGGGAGCCAGCATGGCGGCGCAGACGCAGTGAAGCTTGTGAGAGAGGCTTTGCAGAAAGGCAGGTGCGAGGAAGCAATGTGGAAGAGCAGGCGTGGCGAGGAGGAAGGCGCGGGCGTGTGCGGCGGTGACGGCGGTCGAGAAGAAAGGTGCGCCGCGCGCCGCCGCGAAGGAAGCACAAAAGAGCAGCCGCGGCATCGCGGCCCCTGAGCCCGACCACCACCGCTGCTGGCCCCCACGCCCTCGCGCCAGCACAGCATGGCAGAGACATCAGACGCACGCATTCACCTCCACAATCATGCATTCAGTAGAGCGGATCGAGGCCATTGTGTCCCAACGTCGAGCACCATGTTCCGTGCCCGTCTTCTTCAGCCGACGCATCCGACCTCGAAGCGGGCGAGCTGCTCTCCTTCTCCTCGCCCTCGCCGCGCGCCGTCGCTTCACTTCCCTCCTGGCTGCCCTCCTCTTCCTCGCTGTCCTCCTCGCTCGTTCCCAGTCCGCTCTCGCTCAGCTCCTCCTCGCAGCTAACGAATCCCTGCTCCTCGCTGATTGCCGAAAAGCGTCTCTCGGCATACGCAGGAGACGCGAGGTTGAGCTGCTTTGACGGCGGACGAGGACTGAGGCGTGCGTACGCGGTGCTGTTGGCGGCTAGACGAGGCGCCGTGAGACCACGAGTGTCCGAGGAGTGACGAGTGCTTGGCCACGCCACAGGCTTGCTGGTGTCGACTCCGTCGGCAGAAGTGGTGCGGCTTCTTCCCGACGAGAGGCCCGAGAGCGAGCTTGATATCGAACTGCCACTCCACAGCCGCTTCCTTCCATCTTCGCCCCATCCCCGTTCTCCCCCCTCACGGATCTCCCGCCGCAGTTGCCGCTCCCTCGTGCGCCGTTGCACCTCGGCCAAACGCTCCTCGATGTGTCGCGTGGCACGCGTCATGGACTCGATCGCGAGAGCAGTTGCTTCGCGGCTCTCGGAGAGGACTAGCTCGGCTCGAATGAGAGGCCAGAGGGAGAGCTTCTGCGGAGAGGAGGGCGAGGTGGACATCGCTGTTTGACTTGATGCGCCGCAAAGAGGTGTGGGTGTGGGATGGGCGTTGCTGGGTGTCGGGTTACGCGAGAGAGGGAGAGGTACGTCGAAGAGGAGCATCATACGTGGCCAAGCTCGAGCGCTGTGCCGCAAAAGGGACCACCTTGCCCCCTTGCCGTGCGTCGAAGTCTAAGTGCTTCTCCTCCCCCTCATCGTCGGCGACTCCACTCACCTCCTCTTACCCGTTCGCTGGCGAGCGCTCTGCCATTTCGGGCAATGGTTGCTGCGGCCGGTCTCGGATGAGCAGCAGCAGCGGGAAGAGAAGCGCCACTTCCCCCATCCCGTTTATCATGGTATGGTCGGCAGGCGAGCGAGCCGGAGAGAAGGCGGAACGACGCGGCTTCGCCCCTGGCCCCTCCGACTGCGCTCACGCGCGTCGCTCGCGCGTGCGTCAAATTAGCCTCTCAAGCTCCTTGAGACCCAGCATGCCGGTACAAGCAAGCGTTCAGGCAGCTGCTTCATGATGTCTTAGCTCATATGCAATCATGCACGTATTGATGAGCGCTGAGCTGGTGCGGAAAGGATTGATGAAGCGCAGGAGCGACGGAGGCGGCCTGTGCGTTCGCCGTGTGCGCGCGTGTGTGCCTGAGCTGCGAGCGCGCGTGGGGTCGGGTCATCATGACGCTCGTCCTCACCGCTCTCGGGGAGCGACGGGAAGAGGCGCGTGCACAGTGCAGGAGACTTGCACCTGTTCATGCGTCGATCTTTTCATGCCTTGATGCGTGCTACGCTCGAGCAGATGGAGCTGGCCGAGCTCGGCAGAACGCTTCTGGCTGGCTCCCTCGAGACTCAGCAGCTGCCGACGGCCGCGCGCTGACGGCAGGAGAGCGCATCCTACATCCCCACCTCCTCGTGAGCGTGTCCTACACGAGATGTGCCGAGAGTACGCAAGCGAGAGTGACAAGCTACGGGAAGTGCACTCCACAGAGCGTAGATCTCAGGAGCCTACCCGCTGCGCTTTCATCCCGCTCACGGCATCTCGACCTCTTTCTGACGCAGTCCGAGAAGTCTCGGTCAAGCAGCGGGGAGGCCGTCGACATCATCTCCCTCGCGCAGCCGTGCTTAGCATGTGTGCAAGCCGCGCAGGGGCAGCGCTCTTCCGGCGGCGATGCTTGAGGCAGAGACAGGTCGAGCTCACGGCCTCGGCGAAGGTACAAAAGGTGTGGATGTCTCGACGTTGCTCCTCGTCTCAACACCCGCACGCCAGCTCTCCAACCTCACTCCTACTCGTATACCCTCTTTCTTCAGCCTCACGCTTCTTCTCCATGTCGTCCTCGGCCATCCAACCTCGTCCGCGCCTGCATCGCACGCCTCGCTTCGATCCTCGCGCCATCAGCATCGGCAACACTCCCCCTGCGTCGCCTACGCTTCCCTCACCTACGCGTCCGCGCATGGTGCGGCATCAACGCTCGCAGCACTTCTACAAGTGCGAAGACCTCACCTCGATCGTCTCGAACGAGAACGTCAACATTGTGCTCGCCTCGACGGTGCATTTGCCCCTCGTCGAGCCTGAGCCGTGCTGCGCTATCAAGAAGGCTGGCGGACGCTGCTTGGCTGCCAATTGCCGCACGTGAGTCGCACCTTCGCGCTATCGTTGGCTCTGAGCTGACTTTGGCCTGTTCTCCACAGCGACGCAAGCAAGGCTTCCTTCGGCAAGGCTTCTCACGGCAAGAAGGCCTCTCTCGCGCTGCCCAACTTCGCCGGCTTCGGCCGCGCTCGTCTCGTCAACGCCATGGCCATCTGAGCGACCTCCCCGCGCCTTTGCTCCTCCCAGCAAGCAGCCTAGCGTTCTATACCCAGCGAGACTCAATACCATTCCGCCGCGTCCGTAGGCTATTCACTGTGTGCTGCTCGTGCTGTTCTTCTCGATGTTCGTGGTGCCCATGGCCGCGATGTACGGCTTCCAGTCTATCGCCGCGTCTGATCAGCCGCAGGCTCTGAGGCATGACGTCGCTCCACTCACAGCTCTCAATAGTGGCCTCATCGCGCCAATCCGTCCACTCGTGGTTGAGTAGCGCCCACGTGTCGTCGAGATCCTGCGTGCCCTGGCGCGTGTAGTACGAGCCTGCAATCGACCATACGGCCCAGCCGATCTTGTGGTCGATCGTGAACTCGCGCAGACAGTTGGCCAGCGTGGCGTTGTTGAGCGTGCTGTCTTGCGCTTGACCGAACTCAGTCAGCCAGACTGCAGGGATGTGGGTCAGTCGATGCGTGGTTTACAGAGAATGAGGCGCCTCACCGGGCGTCTTGCGTGCTGGCGCAGGACAGGGGTACTTGGTGTCGTCCTGCTCGCCCTCCTTGGCGCAGCCGCTCGGCGGGTCCATGCCCAGCGCGCTGAAGCCGTAGTAGTACAGCTGCGCCTGGATGGCATCGCACGATCCCGTGTCTAGGCACACGAGTCAGTACACTGTGCTAGAGCCTCAGTGCGCGAGCCGCGACGCACCTGCGTCAGCGCTCTGATCGTACAGATGCAGCTCCAACACCGCCTTGTCCGCCCACGGATGCTCGTCGATCTTGAAGTACACGGGCTCGCGGCGGCGCCCATCGCGCACGGGGTCGATCTTGAATGCCGTAGCGATGTTCAGGTTGGCCTCTTGCACGACGGCAGAGAGGTCCTGGTCGTATTGCAGGCCCGAGAAGGTGATGAGGAGATCCGAGTTGGCCTCGTGGATCGCATCGGCGCCGGCCGTCATGTTGCCAGCCCACGTGAGCCACTACCGGAAAGCGTGAGCGAAAGAGAGCGCAATGGAAGAGGCTCGCGTGACACTCACGGTGTACTCTGCCTCGGGGCGGCCCGTCGCGGGACGCAGCTCGTTGTGCAGCGACATCGAGACGACGTTGGTGTGGTTCTTCGCCCAGTTGGCCATGTAGCCCAGGCCTCGCTTCCAGTTCTCGATGTCGAAGTAAAGGTCGCCGAACCAGGCGTTGCCATCGTCGCTGCGCCGAGAATGAGCATCGAGAAAGCAGCAGCAGAGGGCGGCACTCACTTGCCGCAGCACCACTTCGCCTTGCTGACGTGCACGTCGGGGCTGCACCACAGAGTCAGCTACTGCAAGTAGACATGCCGCAGCTGCAGACTTACTGCATCACGATGCCGTGCTCTGCCTCTAGCTTAGCCAACGAGTCCCACACCTGCAGCCGCGTCGTCTCCTTCGTCCAGCCCATGTCTGCATTCTTGTCCAGGATCTCCTGCAGCACGCGCGTGCCGTTGCTGCCCAGGCCATTTAGGAATGCACGCTCCAGCGTGATGTCGGTGCCGTTGTTCTCGTAGATCTCATCGATCATCTGAATCGCGTAGGTGTGGCGTGCAAAGTTGAAGCCCAGGTCTGCCAGACGCTTGACCGTCGTCGTGGCGCCGACGTACTGCGGCATGGCTCGTCAGCTCAGCGTAGTGGAGCGCTTGACGCATGCACGCACACGCAGACCCTCAGGCACCATCGTCTCTCCCGAGCCGGGCCAGTTGAAGCCGACAGGCGTGACGCTCTGTCCGCGCGCGTTCTTGACGTCCCGACCGTCGGTCGACCATGGCGCGTAGGGCCACTGGCCGCCGTCGCTCTGCCGCGGGAGCAGCGGCAGCTGTCCGGTCGTGTCGATAGCTGCGGCGGCGGCACTGCTGCCCGAGAGCAGCAGTGCGCCGAGGCTTGCGAGGGACCGCAGAGAGAGGAGCATGTTGAGGAATTCGTTGTGCTTGCACGGGCGAGTGATGGAGGACGGCTGCTTCTTAAGCGTCTGCCACTGTGCCTACCCCGCACTCGGAGCGTTTGGGCCGGCCAAGGTCCGGCGAAAGAGCCGAAGCAGCGCATGGTGTGTGCACCTGGAGACGCCGGAAGTGCAGCGGCGTGCGGGAGGCATGACGTGCGTCTGGCCGGCGGGGTGCGAAGAGGTGAGAGGACTCGCAGAGCGTGTGCATGTGGAGCTAAGCACGGCAGTCTCGGCGTAGCGCCGGCAATCTCCGCCGCGTGCGCTGGCGCTCCCGTTGGCGCGGCATGGACGCCGACGTCGCGCCAAGCAAGAGCTACAGCACGGTCAACGCTGCTGCAGCCATGGTCAAAAGACAACGATGTATTCACTACGTGTGAGGCATTCGAGCGAGAATATACAGGCACACCGAGAGATGCTCGGACGCGGAGGAGGGAGTGAGAGACACTGCCTCGACGGTAGCTGAGGGCAGCTTTACACGAGTGCCTTGTTCGACAGCCACGCCTCGACCATCTCGAGGGCCGGGCCGGGCACGTCGAGCGGCACCATGTGGCCTGCGTTGGCGACGCGCACGTACTGCCAAGCAAGCGATGGTCAGCTGCAGCTCATAAGGCGCATCGGACGTGGCGCTACTCACGGCGACGTTGCCGAAGCCCTTGCCGGCAGCGCGGACGTAGCCCGCCTCGCTCTTGTCGCCGGCGATCCACTTCGTCGGCTTCGTCTTCTCGAGCTCGGCGTGGTAGGGCTGCTCGAGCTTCATGAGCCAGCGCTCGTTGCCGATGGCGTTGCACCTGGGTAGAAGAGTACGTCAGCACAGTGGCTCTGAAGTGTGCTGTGACACGACTCACATGAAGTCAGCCTCGCCGGCGTACACGAGCACGCGCACGCCGTCGGCAATGAGCTGCGGCAGCACCTCGGCACTGTTGTGCGTCGAGTCGCCCTGCATCATGAAGCCCTGGTTGATCTCCATGTTGCACGACTTGAACTCGAGGCTGGCGGGCACGCCGTAGGCCTTCTTGGTGCTGGGCATGTTCATGTACCGCTCCATGTCAACGAGTCCGGCGTAGCACAAGGGACCATCCTTGTCCTCGGCGCGGTCGCACTTGCGACGCACGTCGTAGAGGTTCAGGCCCGACTGCTGCGCGTCCGTGTACAGGCCCGACCAGCAGTAGAGCGCGGCAGGGAGACACGTGAAGCGCGAGTTGGAGCTGTAGCACGAGCCGATGAGCGAGGCGCACGTCGACGCCTTGCTGTACAGCTTCGTGCACGTCGGGCTGTCCTCCTCGAAGATGGCGTACTTGCCCTTGCACGCGTAGTCCGGCACACTGGCGAACTGCGTCTGCGGCTCCGTCAGGCCGTTGCCGAGCATCACACTCGCGAGCTGGATGTGCTTCGGCGCCATGTTGTTGGTGTTGACGAAGCGCGAGCTCTGCAGCGCCTGGTTCTTCTCGTGGATCTTGGCCGCGAAGAGCGGCGCGTAGCGGCCGCCGTACGACTCGGCGGCAATGTGGAAGTCGTTGGAGGCAAACTTGTCGAACTTGGCAAAGAAGAGCTGCAGGAAGGCGTAGGCGTCCTCGGCGGCCAGCGGCGTGTTGTTCACGTTGCCGCTGTCCGAGTACGAGAAGCCGACGTTGACGGGCTGGTCGAGGACGAGCAGGTTGGCCTGGGTGGGGAGGGGTCAGCACTGGTGGCGCGCGGCAGTGTGCGGCGGCGGCACTCACGTGGTTCGACCAGCTGAGCTTGTTGTACGCCGTGTCGGTGCCGTTCTTGGCGAGCACGCAGGCGCCGACGCCCTCGAACAGGCTGCCCGTGCTGGAGCTGCAGCCCGGTCCGCCTGGCGATGCGAGGTCAGCCCTTGCTCATCGCCGCACGTGGCTGCACACAACGCACCGTTAAGCCAGAGCAGCACGGGGTCCTTCGACGGCTTGCTGCGCGACTCGAAGAAGCTGAACCAGAAGTGCTGCAACGGGAGGACATCAGCATGCGTGGCGACGGACAAGCGCAGCTCGGCACGCGCGCTCACCTTGTCCTCGACGTCGAGGTAGCCGGCGTACGACTTGACGTCAGGGTCGCAGTGCGTCAGGGGGTCCTGCGCGAGGCGCAGCGAGTACTGGGGGAAGTGCGGGTGCACGAGGCGCTCGTCTGCAAGGGATGGTGGTCAGTGCGCTGCAGTGCCAGAGCAGGCGCGCAGCACTCACACTGCATGCCCTCGACGGCGACGAGACCCTTGCTGAGCCACGCCTTTGCCTCCTCCTCGCCCTTGCCGAGCCAGGCCAGCGCCTCATTCTCGCCCTTGTGCAGCCACTTGGCGGCCTGCTGCTCGCCCTGGTGCAGCCACTGCTTGGCCTGCTCCTCGACCGAGGCCATCGTGCCCTCGGCCTCGTGCAGCTTGGTGCGCAGCCAGTCGGCGGCGGGCTTGGCCTGCGCCTCGAGGGCCTGCACGTCGAGCGCGCTAAAGTCGGGGCGGCCCAGCGCGGGCAGGGCGTCGGCGGCGGCGGCGACGGCGTCGTCGGCCCAGTGCATGAGGCCCTGGTTGTCGAGCGTCAGCTCCTCGGCGGCGTGCGGGCGCAGCACGGCGCCGCGCGCAGCGAGGGCGCAGATGAGGAGTGCGGAGCACGAGGAGAGGTAGGTGGGGGTGCGCATGCTGGGCAGTGGTGGTGGGGTGAAGGTGAGCAGTGAAGGTGGGCCCTGGCGGTGCGCAGCAGGCAGCAGGCCCATGCGCTGCGCTGCACCAGCCAGCGATAGGCTCGCCGCCGGCGCGCCTGCGCGCTGCCAGCTGGCCTGCCGCCTGCCGCATCAGGGGCACGCGACGGGCGGCACCCTCGCGGTGCCTGCCGCCGCGGCGCTTTCTCCGCGCCGCGCGCGGGGCAGGGCCGGCGCCCGCTCCGCGCAGCCGAGGTGCCGCATCGGTCTCTCGCCCGCCTGCCGCTGACGCAGCGCAGCGTCACCGATTCAGCGCCCGCCGGCGGCCGCCGCCCCTCCACGCGATCCTACTCCGCGGAAGTGCGGCCCGCGATGCCGCCGAGCCGGGTCGCCTGACCAAATGTCGCCTTCGCCTCCTCTCGCCGCTCAGGACCCGTTCTCCATACCCCCAAGTCGGCCCCGGATCCCTCGCCATGCCGCTCTCCACGCCCACAGGGCCCTACGCCGTCTCGACGCTCGAGCTCGAGCTGCCCGCTCGCGAGGCGCGTGCCTTTGCCGAGCAGCACGTGCGCCTCAAGGGCCAGCCGGCACTGCGCCTCGAGAGCGCCCTCGTCACGCTTTTCTACCCGACACTCAGGCCGGAGAAGGGCGCAAAGGCGGAGACGGCCGGCTCGGGTTGGCTCAACAGGTGAGTGCAAGGGAAGCGACGAGTTTATGAGGGGCACACTGGCGTGGACTGTCGGTGCAGACAGCCATTCGCGGTGTAGTCAGGGCCCAGCGTGGCGGCCCGGAGAAGCAGACAATTGCCAGGCCTCGCTGTCCATGGCGCCGGAGCGGATTGCGCTCGAGACGTTGGCAGACCGCAGGGAAGGCAACGCTGACGCTTCTGCGCGCATCAGCCCACGCCTCAAGTCCATCGAAGGCCTGCTCAAGTACGCCGGCATCAGCAAGTACTTCGCCCTGCCCGTCCTCGTGCCCGCCTACTCGGTGCTCTTCGCAAAGGTGCGTTGTCCTCTCTGCCGCACAGCGTGCGCCAAGTCTGACGCCTACTTCTCTAGCTGCCCTACGCCCAAAACGCACCGCTAGCTGCGCCGGCTCAGGGCGCCAAGTTCCCAGTCGGTGTGTTCAGCCACGGCCTCGGCGGCACACGCACGACATACAGGTGCGTTTCTCTGTTGCCCCTTTTGCTCCCTACAGAAGCTGAGCTGAAGAGTGTGCTCGAACAGTCAGTATCTCTCCACGCTGGCAAGCCACGGCGTGGTGGTGGCGGCAGTGGAGCACCGCGATGGCACGGCGCCTTCAACGTCCATCTACACGCGCGATGCGGCGGGCAAGGAGAGCGTCGAGACGCGCACATACCTGAAGCACGATGAGCTCGAGTACGTCGTCACTCGCATGTGTTGGCCCATGGCCGAGGCTGATGAGTCGTGGCCCGCAGCAAAGCAGAAGACGGCAGTGCTATTGAGCAAATGGCGCTGCGGCGAGCACAGCTCAAGCTGCGAGAAGCAGAGATGCAAGAAGCGCTTTCAATTCTCTCTCGTCTCAGCTCTGGCGACGCCCAGCCTGTTCTCTCTTCTCATCTCCGCGGCAACGTGGATGCCCTGCGAGCGGCGCGCCTCGAGGAGTGGAAGGACCGGCTTGATCTATCGGACGTCTACGCCCTCGGGCACAGTTTTGGTGGTGCAACCTGCGTAGCGCTCACCAGCTCCGCCGACACGCCGTTCGCTCAAGCGCTCACTCTCGATCCGTGGCTCGAGCCTCTGCTTTCCGAAGGCGCCACACCACCGCAACCGCGCCGGCCGCTCTTCATCATCAACTCCGAGTACTTTTCCATCTGGCGCAGCCACATGGGCTCCGTGCGGGATCTTGTCGCGCGCGCACCGAGCAAGGAGGGACGCAAGCCCTGGCTGTTGACGCTTACCGGCACCAAGCACACCGACTTCAGCGACTTTCCCTTTCTCATTCCGAGGCTCTTCGCCTCGAACGTCGCGCCCGACGTCTGCATCAAGGCCTTCGCGAGCGCCTCCTTGGCGCAGATCAATGCCGGGCGCGCCGATGCTGCAGCGACAGCGACGATGAGCGAAGGCGCGGCAAGCGACATCAAGACGCTCCTGAGTAGCGCAAAGCTCGACGTCGAAGTGCGCGACGAGCACGCAGAGGAGATCCAGAAACGCGACATGAAGGAAGCTGGCATGCTTGTCGTGCACTCGCTGCCGCACGCGCCGGAGCAGCAGCAGGGCGCAAGTGCTGCGGCCGAGGCAAAGCTCTGAATGCTCGGGCCAGGACCTCCTACAAGACACCAGCGCATCTCTCCTCCCCTCCGGACATGGCCCCTTTCCCACCTTCCCACCACGTTCCGGACATGCACCCTCCCCTCCCAGCCACTTCTTTCTCCCCCGCCACATCACAGCTATACCCTAGAGCAATGTCCGTGCAGTTGCGATTTATTTGCTCCGCGTCAGCACTCCTCTCGCAAGCTGGGCCAGTGCGTCCCTTGCCTCCGAGTGCGGCAGGACGGCTAGTGCATCGAGCGCCAGATCGACGTGATGCTGCGCGAGCTTTGCGGTGCGTTGCAGTCCTTGCGAGGCCTCCACTAGCGCCAATGCCTGGATGCCACACTCTTATCAGCTTGTGCTGCATGTGTGCGAAGAGCGGGACAAGACACACCTTGGGCACATCCCCTTCGCCGCCAAACTTGCGCCGCACCATCTCGCCCATGCGCGCCTCGGCGGGCGCCTCTTGCCATGCAAAGAGCACGGGCGCAGTGGCGATGCCCAGGCGCAGATCGGCGCCGCCGGAGGGCTTGCCGAACGCGGCAGAGGTGGAGCGGAAGTCCAGCATGTCGTCCACCAACTGCGATCAGGCCGCGTCAGCCACGGCAATGGCCGGATGAGCGCGAAACTCGGGAGCAAGGCCGCACGAGAAAGCTGCATGCGCTCGGGCAACCCTCCTCGAATACCCCTAGTCGGCGCGCTACTCACCTGGAACGCAATGCCCAAATTCCTGCCAAATGCATACGCGGCATCCCTCGTCTGCTCCTTCCTCCGCTCCACCACCTCTCCCTCGTCTGCCTTTCCGCAGCCTCCCAGAATCACCGCCGCGCGTGCCGATTTGGCCATGAGCGCCGCCGTCTTGAGGTACGTCTTGTGCAGGTAGCTCTCGAAGAGCTGCTCGCTTGGTGCGTCCTCCGGACAGGCGGGCGTCACACGCCAGAAGGCAGATGTATCGAGCGAGACGGAGGGAGAAGGAGCGGCGGCCAAGGCATCTTCAGAAGCTTGTTGAGCTTGCAGCTGCAGCACCTCGCCCTCGACAAGATTGGCGAGCACTGTCGCCAGCAGCTCTACAACCTCCAGGTTGCCCAGACGCGCAAGGGCGACACTGGCGCGCCCGAGGAGAAAGTCGCCTGCAAGTACGGCGAGCTTGTTGCCGAACGCAGCGGGCGCGGAAGGCGCACCTCGACGCAGGGCGGCCTCATCGAGCACATCGTCGTGCAGCAGCGAGGCGACGTGGATCATCTCGCTGATGTCCGCCAGTCTGCGCTGCGTGCACAGGATGTTCTCCGACTCGGGCGCAGCGAACACCGTTCGGCGAGGGTTGACGTCGTTGAGTATCCCCGTCGGCGAGATCTCAGCATCGAGCTCCGCGCCTTGTGTTTTCCGATCCTCCTCCCGCAGCCGCTCATAGCCCGGCGCGACGCCGTTGGCGGCCTGCGCCATAAGCAGCACAATCAGTGGCCGCACGTGCTTGCCCTCTGCGGCAAAGTAGTAGCCCGCGATGCGATCGAGTGCGGGATGCGACGAGCCAAGCATGGAGGTGATGCTGCCCCGCAACGAGGTGAGCTCGGGCAGCACGAGCGACGTGGGCGAGCGCGGCGAGACGAGCGTGGTGCCGCGCGCGAGAGCGGAGGCCCAGGAAGCGCCGCTGGGAGAGGCAGCGGCAGCTGCGTGTGCGGGCGCACTGGCGCTCGACTGGTGCCGCAGCGAGCTCGAGGCAGCGAGCGAGCTGGGCCGTGGCGGCGCGAGCGAGGCGCGACGGAGCACATGCCGCGCACTCGAGGCGCCGGCGCGCGGGAGGAGCATGGCTGTCGCGAAGATTTAGAGGCGCAGTCGGCCTCGAGCTTGAGTGGAGACGCTGAGATGTGTGAAGAACGATGCAGGTGTAGTAGGCAGCGGGAGAGGAGGAGATCGATGCTCAGGGCCCTCCACGCCGGCCTCGTTTCTTCCGTCAGCACAGCAGCAGGCGTCTCGTACGGCAGCAAGGCCCGGCCCGGCCAATCCGAGCGCGCGTCACGTGCGCCGCGCCCACTGACTGCCAGCCGTCGGCAAGTCGAGCCCTCGGCTGCGCATCAGCTCTTGGCCTGGTCACTTGCGATGCAAGATGAGAACAAATGCCATGGCTGCTGCTGCTTGATGTGGCGTTGTCGCCGCCGTGGTTCTGCCGGCAGCGCTCGCCGACGGGCGCATGCCTCGACACGGCGGCGCCGAGAGCGAGGGGCGAGACCGCTGCGCCCAGCGCGGGAGCGGCACGCCGACGGCGGCGCGGCTGCATGCGTCCGCCACGCCGACGCGGCGCCGAGTGCGGCGCAGCGCCGCCGCGGCCGCGGTGCGTGTGCGGCGCATGAGCGTGAGAGCTGGCGCCGTGGCAGCAAGCAAGGCGCTGGCCGCGGCGCTTGGGGGCGAATTCAGGGCTCGAGGGCTGCGCCTCTTGTCTCTCCCACCAACACCTCTGCCCTGCTCACCCTCGCTTCACCTCACACCCTCAAGCGCTTCGAGTCGCGCCTCTGCTCGCCGCACAGCACACTGTCGTCTTCGTTCGCTGCATCTGCACCGCGCATCTCTTGATCTGCTCTTGATCTCGGCGCTCTCTCGCCCAGCCAACTGCAGCCATGGCCACGCCCACGACGGCCGAGTTCGGCCACCCGCTGCGCAAGTTCAAGGTGAGAGAGCAGCAGAAGCAGTGCGGGCAGCGCGGGGTCCAGGACGATGAGCAGCGCGGCACGCTAGGACGGGCTGGCAGAGAGGGATGCGAAGCTGCGTGTTGGACGCTGTAGCATTGTCCCGGGCAGCCGCTCGCAAGGGAGTTGGCGAGAGGAAGCTGAGAGCTGGGCTTGCATGTGCTGGTGCCGCATCTTCGTGCTGTGCGTGCATGGCATGGCCGCAGCGTAGCGATCGGCCGTGGCGACGTGAATGCAGGCAGACGAGGGCGAACAGAGGCAAGCGGCGAGAGGTGGGAGCGCAAGGGCACAGCTCGCACGGCCTGCGGGGGCCAGATCTGCACAGCTATGCACTTGGCAGGCAGGCAGCGGCGGCGTCTTGGCCTAGCCGGTCGAGTTCACTCCTGAGAGCGTGGGCCAGGCCGGCTCTCGAGCTCGCCCCCTTTTGTGCGCTGCAGGGTCAGAGCCCTGCGGTGGAGAGCAGCAATTGCAGCGCGCGGGCGTGCAGCGCTTGCAATGAGCCCTGAAGGATCGCGGCGTCTGCGAGTCGCAGGCGCAAGGGCGGAAGCACCCGGACCGTCTGCATGCGGCTCAGATCAAGCTGTGCTCTGCGCGCACACGTAGCCCTGTGCCGGCCCGGCGCAGCTCGAGAGTGGCACGCGTACCGGTTAAGCGGCACTCTGGCGTGCTCTGACATGGAGAGCTCGCAGCGCGCCAGGTGCACCAGGTTCTGCAGCCAGCGTGCGGAAGAATGCACGCGCGCACGGCGAGACGGCGTGTCTGCGGCCAGGCAGGCGCTCGCTAAGTCGAGCGCCCGCTCGTCTTGAGGACAGCACAAGCTTTCCTGCTGCAGTCTACCTCGCCCGGCCTTGCGCACCGCTAGGAAAAGAGTCCGGGCTGTTGATCCGCTGCGCCTGCCTATGTCCGCTGTGCACTGAGCTTACACGACCCTCCCTCTCCAGCTCGTGTTCCTCGGCGAGCAATCAGTAGGCAAGACGTCTCTGATCACGCGCTTCATGTACGACACGTTCGACAACACCTACCAAGCCACGATTGGCATCGACTTCCTCAGCAAGACGATGTACCTGGAGGACCGCACCGTTAGATTGCAGCTGTGGGACACTGCTGGCCAGGTGCGTTCGACGAGCGCGCACAGAGAGGAAGCGCGCAGTCGCTGATGCTATGCTATGTGCGCCTCGCCTCCGTCAGGAGCGCTTCCGGTCTCTGATCCCCTCGTATATCCGCGACTCGTCCGTGGCCGTCGTGGTGTACGACATCACGAGTGAGTCGGACTTGCCGAGGCAGCGGCACTGCGTGCGTCGCTGATGCAGGCGCCTCTGCCAGACCGCGCCTCGTTCCAGAACACATCCAAGTGGGTCGACGACGTGCGCGCCGAGCGCGGCAGCGACGTCATCATTGTGCTGGTCGGCAACAAGACGGACTTGAACGACAAGCGGTGCGTCATCGTCCACGCGCGCGCCCTGCGTACTTGCCCGCGCGCTGCCGAAGCTTACGCACCGTCTCGCTCTCAGCCAAGTGACGACGGAGGAGGCGGAGAAGCGCGCACAGGAGTACAACGTCATGTTCATCGAGACGAGCGCAAAGGCAGGCCACAATGTCAAGACGCTGTTCAAGAAGATTGCGCAGGCGCTGCCGGGAATGGACAAGGATGCGGCAGGAGGCGCGGCGGGAGAGAACAAGAGTGAGTGCTGCGCGCTCGAGCTGCGAGGAAGCTGCGTCTGTCAGATGGCTGGAGGGCTGATGCTGACACAACCTTGCAACAGTGATCGACGTCACCGCCGCACCGGCAAATACGACGATGGAGGACGGCAGCTCCTGCAAGTGCTGAGCGCGTCGCGGATGGACACGCCTCTCTGCTGCGGAGCCGTGCCCCAAATGTCGCGCGTCGCGCGCGCCTGACGAAGGAGGGGCTGGACTGGCTGTGAGGGGACAGGCGGCTAGGCATGAGCGCGGATGTGGGTGGCACGCTGCGCTGTCGAAGCGCGCATTGCTAGAGCGCAATGGTGCGCCACGTGTGCAGGGTTTTTTGGGGAGGAGGAGTACGTCATTGCCATGTTTCTTGATCTTCTGACAAGGTGTGAGCTGCCTGCCAATGCGCACAGCGAGCGCGCACAGGCTGGAGGCGCCTGCGCGTGCCTCTCGAATCGCTTCAGACGCAGCCAGAGAGCGCAGGAGCTATGCATTGTCCTCTTGCCCTCTCCGCAGGCCCTCCCTGACCTCTACATAGCGACGCACAGCCCCACGGCCAGCCTCGCCATCGCCATACTCGTACAGTTTGCGCGCCAGCGCTCCCAGGAACGGGCGCTGCAGCTTCTCGTAGCGTCGCTTCGCCTCTGCCGAGCGGCTCTGGGCCATCGAAAATGCGGCGCGCGGCAGTGGGATCTGCCATCGACGAAGCAGACTCCTGGCGGCAGCCACACGCAGGAGAGCCGCGCGCTGCATCGCCTGCTCCTCGTCGTCGTCGCCAGCGCGTCTCGGCAGCGCCTTTGCAGCCACCTTGTGACCAGCCACGCTGCTCTCGCCGAGCGCCAGCGCCGCCAGCGCGCGCAGTTCAGCTGCGCTGTGCGCCTTGCGCACGAGCAGCAGCAGCACGACATTCGCAGTCACCTCGTCTGGTCGCACGTCGTACGCTGCGAAGAGGTGCAGCACGGACTCGGCTCGCTCGAGCGCGCGCCACCAGAAGAGCGGAGGCGGTGCTTGAGCTGCATGCCAGCGACGTGCGTTCGACGCCACGACGGCGCTTGCAGGTGCTGCGCCTGGCCGGGTGTGCGGGGCAGCTGCTTCTCGACGCTGCTGCTCGCCACTCCGTCCTCGTCCTCGTCCGCCCTGCGTGCGCAAGCGCGCTGAGCGCGCACTGGCGAATGCGCGCAGTGGGCGGCTGTACGAGCTCGTCGTTGCCGCAATCCTGGAGCGACGTGTCATGCGCTTGTCGAGAGGCATCGCAAGCGCCAGTGCACCGCGCAGCAAGGTGTTGAGCAGCGCTGTGCCGCGCGTGGAGAGGTAGCCTTCTTGGCGCGCATGTAGCGAAGCGACGTCGGACGTGGTGAGAAAGCGCGCGCAGAGGGACCGAGCGGTGCGGTAGCGACCGGCGTTGAGGAAGGCTTGCAGGGCGGCCAGCTGCGCCGAGAGCGGCAAGAGACGACCGAGTGGCTGGGCGGCGTGCGGCTGGGCACTTGACCCCTCGTCGGGGGCAGAGAGCAAGTCGAGCCGTCGCAACGCAGCGAGGTCCGCCATGACGAGACCTGGTCTGCTTGCGCGTGCGTGCGATACCATGCGCGCGGCGAACGCGGCCACGACTGCCTCCTGCCGCGACTGCGACATCTCTGCGCGCGTGGGAAGTGCTCCGCCGAGGGACGCCAGCAGCTCGTTCCAGAGCTCGGCGCTCGTACGTGCGCGGGCGCGTCGATCCCGATCTACTCGCGCACAGAGAGGCGCACTTCGTTGCCGACCAAGACGGCCTGCGCTAGAGGTTGCAGTCTCGCTCTCGGCCTGCCCCTGCGACCCAAGGCGCAACCGAGGCGCGCACTCGCTCCAGCGAGTAAGGAGCGGCAGGTACATGCCGTGTGTGCGCTGCTCAAGCGGCACGAGTTTGAGCAGCGACAGAGCTTGTCGTCCGCCGCTGCGCATGACGAGGAGGTGCAGTGTCTGCTCGACGATGTTTGGTCTCGCCCAGCTGCAGCGCGCATTCGCCTGGCTCGCTTCGCTTTGCCCAGCAGGAGCGCCGTCTGCGAGACTCGAGACCTGCGACGCACTGCGCGCCAGCTGCAAGACCGCATCGGGTAGCTGCGAGTGCGCGAGTAGGCGCAGCAGCGAGTGCAGCTCCCGCGCATCGGTCCGCGGCTGCGTGCCGAGGTGCTTCTGGTGCTCGCCAACGTCTGGTGCGCGCCCAGGCGAGTTGTAGATATGCAGAACGCCCCGCGATAGGAGCGTCCGTGCACTGCTAGTGAGACCCTCGAGCGCCTGTCGCCGCGCAAGGCTATGCAGCGGCATGCGCGACACGTTGTCGAGCGCCTTGCGCACCAGATAGCGCGCCTGTGACTTGCCTAGCCGCTCGTCTGCCAGCGCATGGCAGCCGCGAACGACGGCACGAGCAGGCCCAACGAGCTGGTGCGCCACGTATGCGTACAGCACGCGTCGGCGGAGCGCTACTAGGGATGCGAAGAGGGGCGCGATGCGCGGTGTAGAGGCGGGCGCGGCGAGGTAGAGCGCATATGCGGTGCGAAGACACGCCCGTCGAGAGGTGGCCTCTTGCGGTGTGCTAGAGGGGAGATACTGAGCCAGCAGCAGCAGACTCAACTCCTCTGCATCGGCGCTGGCGTCACGCTCTTCCCAGCGCAGCGCCACACGCTCGCGCAGAGCTGTGAGGAGCTGCCCGGCGAAGGTGGGAAGAGCATGCTCGCCATGCGCTATGGAGAGATGTGCTTCCTCGAGGAGAGCGTCGAGCTCAGAGAGCGAGAGGAGCGAGGAGAGAAGATGCTCGGCTGGTGGTATGATGCGCGGAACGGAACGAGATCGAGAGTCGGAAAGAGAAGAGGTGCGAGCGTCGGGCGCTGCCTGTTCGGCGACGGCGATTGCTGCGACGACGGAGCGGGCGGCAGTCTGAGAGCTCTCCACGTCGGCTGAGAGTGCACTTGAAGGCGCAACGGGTTGCCTTGCACCATCGCTTGCGTCGCTGAAGCCAGCTGCCGGCGCAGAGATTGCGGCAGCCGCAGCGGCAGGCACAGGCACGGCGTGCTGGGCCCGCGAGAAGAAGCCCTCGGCGGGCGCCAAGTGCGAGCCGCGTGCTGCCTCTGGCTGCTTGCCGCTGCTGCTGCTGCTCGTCAAGCGCGCGCGACGCTGCTGGAGGCGCAGGATCGCCTCTCGTCCCTCGTCATCGTCGGCTTCGCGCAGCTCCTCCTGCGAGGCTGCCCAGGCAGCATGCGCCTCGGCTGCAGCGGCGGCGCCGTAGACGTGCCGTCTGGCGCCCGCCGTGCTGCGTGCCCAGGCCGGCAGCGAGGGGACGCGCAGCAGCTGGCTGCGTGCCGCCGCAGGCGTAGGCGCGCGGAGAAGTGACAGCGCGCCGCTGCGGAGGCCAGACATGACTTTGGCGCGCTGCGGGAGCAGAGGGCAGCGGCGTCGAGGGCAGCATAAACGGGTGCGCTGGGCATGGCGCGCACTCGCTCGCCGCTCGCCCGCTGCCGGAGCCGCACGTGCGGCGCGAGCAAGGCGAGGCGCTGCGTGTGCTTAGCAGAGCAGGGAATGGCGGGGCATGGAGGGCGCGAGAGGTGGGCGGCGCGAGTGATGTGTGTGTGTGTGGAGATGGAGAGCAGCCAGAGACCGAGACGAAGCAGGGGCCAGCCGTCAGTGGCCGCGCCCAGGCGCGTGAAGGCTGCTCCGCGGATGTCCGTCAGAAGGATCGGGGTCGCTTACGTCAGCGCTCCCCACGCAGGCAGTCGCTCTCACGGCTCTTACGCGCGCCTCTCGCTGCCCGCCGCCCCTCCTACGCCCGCAGCAGCGCGCGAAGACGGACGGCGCGGCCGCCCGCTCCTGCTGCTGCTCCTCCATCCCCCCCTCTCGCAGCAAGAGCGCCTTAAACTCCTTTGTATCCGGCAGGACTCGTGATCATCGGTGGCCTCTTTGACCCGCTTCCTCGAAACCTCGTCACCTCTCTCCACCTACACTCTAGACCAAAATGGGTATCTCGCGTGCCACCAAGGAGGCCTGGTTCGTCCGCCTCAACGAGTGCCTCGACAAGTACGTGAGTATGCTGCGCCCGGCTCATGTGCGAGGCGCGAGATGGGCAGGGCGGAAGATGGCTGGAGGGTGGAACTTGTTGGAGAAGGAGACTGCTCGAGGCGGACAGCTGGAAATGGAGAGCGAAGGGGCGGTATGCTGCGAAAGGCGGTCAGCGGCCAGCAAGGACACGGCACTGGACTGCAGACGGCGCGAGGATGCGGAGAGTGAGCGCGAAGAGCCGGCACAGGCAGGCCGACTTGCTTCTGGCAGATTCTGCGCGGGCGAGGTGCTCCGGGCGTCCCTACAGACCAGCTGCTGACTCCCCCCCGCAGTCGTCGATCTTCATCGTCAACGTCGACAATGTCGGCTCGATGCAGATGCACCAGATTCGCCAGGCCCTGCGCGGCAAGGGCACGGTGCTGATGGGCAAGAACACGATGGTGCGCCGTGCGCTGCGCATGGTCGTCTCGGAGCGCCCCGAGTTCGAGCGCCTCATGCCGCACGTCAAGGGCAACATCGGCTTCGTCTTCACGGCCAGCGACCTCAAGGAGGTGCGCGAGCTCATCCTCGCCAACCGTGTCGCTGCGCCGGCCCGTGCCGGTGCCTACGCCCCGGCCGACGTCTACGTGCCCGCCGGCAACACCGGCATGGAGCCGGGCAAGACGAGCTTCTTCCAGGCGCTCGGCATCCCGACCAAGATTGCCCGTGGTACCATTGAGATTGTCTCGGACGTCAAGGTCGTGTCCGGCGGCTCGCGCGTCGGCACGTCCGAGGCGACGCTGCTCAACATGCTCAACATCTCGCCCTTCACGTACGGCATGACGGTCGTGCAGATCTACGACAGCGGCAACACCTTCACCTCCGACGTGCTCGACGTCGAGGAGAAGACGCTCACCGACCGCTTCAGCCAGGGCATCCAGCAGATCGCCGCCATCTCGCTGGCGCTCAACTACCCGACCATCGTGTCGGTGGGCCACTCGCTCGTCAACGCCTACAAGAACCTGCTCGCCGTGTCGCTCGCGACCGAGTACGAGTTCGAGGGCTCGGCCAAGGTGCGTGCTGCAGAGAGGAGCGAGAGATGTGGCAGCGGCGGCAGTGGTGCGCGGCGAGGGGACAGACGGGCCAGAGGACTGCTCCAAAACACACTGAAAATCCGGACGGCTGCAAAGCTCATGACCAGATCTTGGCCATCGGCCCCCATCTCAATGATGGCCCATGACGTTGCGCGGCGTGGTTGCGGTGCTCTTGGCTTGCCTCGCTGCACTGTGCTGACACTGTACTGCCACGCCCACAGGCCAAGGCCTACCTGGCCGACCCGTCGGCCTTCGCCGCTGCGGCCCCGGCCGCCGCCGAGGAGACGTCGGCCGCTGCCCCGGCCGCTGCCGAGGCCAAGGAGGAGGAGAAGGAGGAGGAGAGCGACGACGACATGGGCTTCGGTCTCTTCGACTAAGCGTCTCGTCCTGTACAGGAGCGAGGCGACGCCAGCTGGATCAGAGCTGCCCCGTTGTCTGCTCGCGCCTCTCCCATCCCCACCTACCCTCCCTCCCCCTTTTGTCGAGCGACGCTGCCAATCTGATGCGCTACTTGCAATCTTGGTGCTTGCGAACTGAGGAGAACCCATGCTGGAGGAGGCGCATGCGCGGCACTCGGGCCGGAGCGAGCACGGCGTCCTGTGCACGCGCGGGGTAACGCTGCTCTGCTGCTGTCGGGCGCTGCTCGGTGCGGCCTCGCTGCTGCCTTGTCCTGCCCACCATCCTCCTCGCCTGTGCCACCTCTACACACCTACGGCCCACACGAGCGTCTCACCACCTGCTCCGCTCCGCTCACGGCGCCATGTCCTCCTCGCTGCTCACCGCGCTGCAGGCCTCCCCGACGCGTCTCGACCTCGACTGCAACGATGCCGCCTTCGGACGAGCCTTCTCCGCCTCGCTGGCCTCGTCTGCCTCCAGCGCGCGCGTCTTCTGCGACATGACGAGCAACTCGCTCCTCGTGCTCGCCGAGATCGCAGCGGCTGATGGCGCACGCGTGCCGCTGCTCGAGGAGAGCGTGCGCACGGCCAAGGCGCTGCTGCAGGGCAAGCTGCAGGGCGGAGAGAAGGTGTTGAGCTTCGGCCTGGACGGGCTGGACGACGATGAGAAGCTGCAGTGGCTGGCTGTGGATGTTATGGTAAGTGGGAGCAGCTGAGGCATGTGCAGGACCGGGACACAGTGCGGAGGAGCGAGGGTGCATTGCATGCCCATCATCTTGGGCGTGCGAGCGCTCAGCAGGACACAGCGGAGTGATGAGCAGCCACGCCTCTTCATCAGTACGTCTCAGCACTGGCGCTGACGCTGCCCTCCCTATAGACTGTCTCTCTCGGTCTGCAGGTCCTCCCGCACCTTCAGCCTCGTGGCATGCTCCACGCCCAGATCGCCTGTTCCCTCGGCACAGCCAGCGCCATCGAGGCGCACGCCCGTCGTCTTTCCGCGCTCTACATTCTTCTCTCTCGCGGCAATGTCTCGCACGAACGCATCTGCATCAAGATTCCCTCCACACTCGCTGGGCTTGAGGCGTGTGCCAGGCTCGAGAAGGATGGCATCAGGACGCTGGCTACGACTTGCTTCTCGCTGGAACAGGCACTCGCTGCTGATAGTGAGTTTGTGCGGGCGAGGGAGGCCTGCTCTGTAGACTGACGCCCTCTTTGCCATAGCTGCTGGTTGCAGATAGTTTGTCACTTGTGCACTCGGTCTTGCTCGCGCTGCTGCTGACACCTTGGTCACGCAGCGTGGCGCCCTACATCAACGCGCTCGAGGCTCACTTCTAGTGAGTCTTGCCAGGCCTGTGACCCGCCAGCCTGTCTTGATCTGACTCTGTGCCATCGTAGCGAGGTCGAGAAGCCCAGTGTGCGCCGGCATGCAGACACAAGCGAGGCGCTCGCCATCGTGGCGCGCCTGCAGAGAGCACTGCGGAGGCGCCAGTCGCGCACGGAGGTCGTGTCTGCGTCATTCTTGAGCCTGACCGAGGTGTTCAGGTGAGTCTTGGCCGCACAAGTGCTAGCTCGGCTGACTGACTATTGCTGCGCCTGTGCAGCCTGCTTGGCGTCGATACAATGACACTCAGTCGGGGCGTCTTGACTCTGGTGAGCGTCTGAGGCTTGCGGCCATGCGCCACCCCGTTCCTCACGTCACTGTCCACAGCTGCGCGACACGCCCGCTTCCGACGAGCTAGTGGCGCTGGGCCGCGCGAGCGAGAGACGCATGGATCCGGCCTCTCTCTCCGCAGACGCAGCGCAGGCTGAAGCTGACGAGGACACCAAGGCAGCGACGCCCGAGGCGCTCGCTGCGGCGCTCAGCTCGGAGCGCTGCGCCTACCTCGTCGCCGACGCCCTGGCTCGCTTCACCAAGGCCGAGGAGATGCTGCGTGCCCTCGTGCGTGCCGAGGTCGCGCGTGGGCCAGCAGCAGGAGATCGCGCATAGACAGGCCAGAGCGAAATGAGAGTGAGATGCATTCGCTTGCGCAGGCTCGCACGGGATCTGATCTAGAGACGGGCTTGACAGGGCACGGCGGGGGGTATACGGCGCATGCGCTGGGGTTTGCACGCGTGTCTGGCCGGAAGAGGGAGAGGAAGAAAGAGAGAGAGTCACTCGAGCAAGGGGCACAGAAAGGATACAGTAGGGAGCGTTGCGAGGGACTCGGGACCAGATGATGAGAGAGAGCGGGGCAGATGCGGTGCAGAGGATGCTGGAGAAGAGAAGTGGAGAAGACGACTAGAACGACGTGTTGCCACCCATGGAGGAGAGGAGCGAGTCGATGTAGTCCTGCGCGGCCAGGGCGTCCTGGGCCGTGCCGTTGGCGCCGCCGCCGACCTGTGCGAGCATGGCGTCGAGGTCGCCGCTGCTCTGGTCAAAGTGCAGGCCGATGGCGCCGCCTTCGAAGCCAGGCATGCCGCCGAGGTCAAGGCCGAGCGACTGCGACGGCGGTGCCTGCTGCGACTGCTGGGCAGACAGGAGCTGCTGCTGCTGTTGCGGCGAGGGCGCGGGGCCGAAGACGTCCGTGTTGAACATCGACTGCTGCGGCAGGCTGTGGCCGAACGAGAGGTCGAGCGGCGAGTTGAGCTCGCTGCCCATGCCCGACTGCGCCGCCCATGCGCGGGCGAGACGCTCGCGGTGCGCCTTGGTCTCGTCGTGGCCCGGGATCGGCGGCGGCTCGTGCAGCGCGGGCGCCAGTTGCGGGAAGGGCGTGACGGGCGTCATCATGCCGCGCTGCTGCATGGCACCCCAGGCGGCAGCGTTGTGCGTCGAGAGCGCCGGGCTCGAGGACAGCTGCTGCTGGCTCATCGAGCGGCCCATGCCGCCGTTGAGGTACGAGGGCACCGGCGGGATCGAGACCATCAGGTTCGGCTTGTTGACCGAGAAGCCGCGCTTGCGCAGCAGCGTCGGACCCTGCGACTCGAACTGTTGCTGGTTGCGCAGCATCTGCTGCTGCTGCTGGTGGTGCTGGTGCATAGCCATCTGCTGCTGCTGGTGCTGCTGCTGCAGCGAGAACTGCTGCGGGTGGTGCTGGAAGCCGGCCGGCTGCATGGGCGAGGCAGCCGTGTGCGTGAGCTGCGGCGGGGCCAGCGGCGTCGTCGGCCGGTGGTCGACGGGCGTGAGGTGCTGTGGGCCCATGGGCTGGCCCTGCGGCGACGGCAGCGCGACGTAGCGGCCCATCGGCGACGGCGACATGCGCGGTGCCGTGAGCATCGAGACGGTCGGCGTGCCGGGGCGGCCGCCGAGGCTCTCGACGCACTCGAGGTCCCAGGCGATGACAAGCACGACGTCGCCGACCTTGGAGCCCGGGCTGATGTGCGAGCCGCTCGTGTCGTTGAGCAGGTGTGCGCCGGGGCCGCCCACGAGCGGGGCATTGAGGCCGCCGTTGAGGCCGTCGGCACCGCCAGCGGCGGCGACGGCCGCCGAGGACATGTCGTCGGGGCCCGTGCTGCGGCTCGCGGCCGCGGCGTTGTCCTCGGAAGTGACGACAAACTCCTGGATGATGGTGACGCCCGAGACGGCCATGCCGAGCGCCGCACGCTCGCTGGGCTCCTTGCCGAACGACTGGCTGCTGTCGCGCTGCGTGTACACGTTGACCGGGTGGTTGCGCGAGAGGAAGTCGGCCCAGAAGTCGGTCGCAAAGGGCGCCTGGTGCCAGAAGCGGTGGCGGTTCGCGGCCGTGGCGGCGCTGTCGCTGGCGGTGAAGGCGTCTCCGGGCGTCGCGGGCATCGACGACGGCGGCGACGACTCGCCGCTGCTGCTGCTGCTCTTGCCCGTGTCCGGCGTGGGCTCGGCGGCCGAGGCGCCGTTGCCGTTGCCCGAGGCGGCCGTGGGCTTGCCCGAGATGCGGCGCGGGGCGTCGAGCGGCTCGACGAGCGAGAGGACCCGCTTGCCGTGCGAGTACACCGTGGTGACACTGGTGAGGCGCGACTCCTGCAGGCTCGTGAGGGCGAGCTGCGTGCTGAAGTGGTCGTAGCGCGGCAGCAGCACGTCGGCGCGCGGGATGCTCATGGGCACATGCACGTAGAGGAACTGGCACGGCAGGTGGTGGTACATCTCGGCCAGGCGCGGGAAGCGGAAGGCGCCGATGCGCACCGAGTCGAGCGGCAGGCGCGGCAGCGTGGCGTTGCTCTGCGAGCACGAGGCCATCGACTTGCGGTCGAGGTTCGTGTAGACGTGCTTGTCCTCGCTGGCCGAGCAGTGCACCCACATCGAGAAGCTCGCCGGCAGGATTGGGCACGACGTCGTCGCCGCCTTGGGGTCGTGCGGCGCCGGGAAGTGCAGTGCGTTGAGCGCCGACGAGAGGCCGGTGGCCGAGTGCGGCGGCGGCATGAGGCCGTTGACGTCGGGCAGGCCCTGCGTCGAGAAGGCGGGCGACGGGTTGAGCGAGGACATGGGGCTGTGCAGCGCCAGGTGCTGGCCGCCCATGTTGGGCGTGTACGGCGAGAGCAGGCCGGCGTTGCCGTCGGCGAGCAGCGGGTGCGGGCCGCCGAGGCCGCCGTAGCCGTAGCCGGCGAGCGTCTGGGCGTACATCATGCCGCCGGCGGGAATGTAGAAGTCCTCCTCCGTCGTCGGCTCGGCGATGAGCTGCTGGAACTCGGGGTCGCCCTTCTTGATGTTCTTGAGCACCTGGATGTGGCTCGAGACCTGCTTGCGTGTCCGCGTCTTGTTCGTCTTGCGCTCAATGTAGTCGGCGATGAGCTCGTTGCGGCCGCACGGCTTGCCGTGCACCAGCACCTTGCGCCGGCCGAGCTTGGGGATGAGGCGCAGCGCCTCCCAGAAGGCGACCTCGACGTCGTCGGGCCACACGTCGGGGCCCTTGCTCTTGAGGTCGGCCTTCTCCATGGCCTTGCTGATCATCGCCTTGTTCTGCGCCTCCTGCATGGCCGACTCGGAGGCCACCGGCGGTGCGCTGCGCGGCGGCTCGGGCAGGCCGTCGAGACCCTCGCGCCCGCCCGACGGCACGGTGAGTCCGGCGGTGAGGCCGGCGATCTCGCTCGTGCAGTCGCCGGCGATGGAGCGGCGGCGCTGGCGGTCCATGCTGCCGCTCGACGAGCCGCTGTCGTGGATGCTCTCGGGCAGCGTTGACGACGAGGCCGACGAGTACGGCGTCTGCATCACGCGGCTCGACGCCGCCGAGCTGACGACGCTGGCGGCGTGCTGCTGCATCGTGTGCCACGAGTTGGGCGGCGTCTGCTGCACGAGGTTCTGCGCGACGCGCTGCGGCGTCTCCGTCGGCGCCACGCTTGTCCGCCGGCGCTTGGTGTCCTCGGCATCGGCGGGTGTGGGTGTGCTGCCCTGCGACGAGAGGCTGACGGTGAGGCGCGGCGGCGAGAGGAGAAAGTCGGCAGCGCCCGGCGGCCCGTTGCTGAGCTGCGAGAAGTCAAACGAGTCGTCGTCGCCGGAGAGGACGTCGAGCTCGCCGTGTTGCGGCGGCGGCACGAGCGGCTGCACGCTGTGGCGGCGCGAGGCCGAGTTGTTGCGCAGGTGCAGCGAGCGCTTGCCGAGGAACGAGTTGGGGCTCGCCATGGCGCTGGCCATGCCGAAGTCGAGCGCCGCGGCGAGGCTCGAGTGCGGGCTGTCCTGCGACGAGCGCGACGTGTCGTGCTCGGCGCTGCCGTCGTGTGTAAGGCTCATGAAGTCGCCGCCGAGGAAGCGGGCGTTGGCGGCGGTGAGGCTCTCCTTGCGCAGCGCCACCGGCAGGCCCGAGACGGCGCTCTCGGGCGTGCAGAGGTGCGAGCCGGCGCCCGACGAGAGCGTCGAGTCGGAGTACGTCGGCGAGGGGAAGACGCTGTGCGCCGAGGCGGCAGCAGCCTTGGGCGACGACGAGTGCAGCGCAGCGGGTGCGACACGCGGGCTCGCCATGGCGAGGAGGCGGGTCGGCGAAAGGGGGCCGGCGCGGAGGCGCGCGGGTGAGTAAGGAGCGTGCGGTGGTGGTAAGATCAAAGGAGCGGCAGGGCAGGCGAGAGCGAGGAGCAGCGAGAGAGCACGCGGGAGAAGGAGAGGGCGAGGCGGGAAATGGAGGCGGCGAGCGGAGGCTGCCTGGGCCAGGAGGCTTATATGAGGGCTGTGTGCGGGCGAGGTGGCGGAGGGCGCGCTGCCTGTCCCTGGGAGCGGCCAGGAGCGGCAGGAGGCAGCGCCGGCAAGCGCACCTCTGAGCTGCGGCTGCAGCGGCTGCACCTCCGCTTCCCGCATCGAGGCCTCCTGCAGCGTCACAGCGCAGAGCAGCAGCGCAGAGCGAGGGCCGTCGGCTGCGGAGGGTTGCGCGAGGAGGGCCACGGCGGCGGCCGCGCTGTCCTGCCTCGCCCTCGCCGGAGATCACAGGGGCTGCGGCTGCAGCTGCAGTTCGGCAGCGATCTGGCCTCCTGTGCCTGCGCCTGCTCGCCTAAGCTGTGATGCTGCGCTGCTGCTGCTGCACCTGCGAGTGTTGGTGTGTTGGACTGCCGGCGGGCGGGCGGGAGGGCGGGCGGGCGGCGACGCAGCTGCGACCCCCTGGCGGCGCGGCGCATCTTGCGAGGGCGCTGCGAGGGCGGCGCAGGAGGAGGAGCAGCGCGGGCGAAGCGCCTCTCGCCTCTGAGGCTGCGCTGCACCGCTGCGGAGAGCAAGCGGCGTCCCAGCCGCAGCCGCCGCCGCATAGGAGCGCGCCGCAGGGGCAGCGTCGCCGTGCACACTCGCGCCGTGCCCGCCCCCCGCTGCAGTAGCGCCGCTCGTGCAAGGGGCTGCGCGGTGTGGCACGCCGCCCTGCGCACGCGCATCACCGCAGCGGCGGCCGCAGCATCGCAGCCGCAGCGAGGCCAGTGCCGGCACCGACGCTGCACCCACGAGCTCCGCCGTGTGAGCAGCAAGCACGGCCAGCATCCCGGGCCGATGCCGAGGCGAGGCGAGGTGGTGGTGCACGATGGAGCTCTGCGCTGGCACTGCGCGGGGTGTGTTGCTGCTGCTCCCTGCCTGCGGCTAGCGCAAGGCGCTGCGGTGAGCTGGCGCTGCGTGCGAGAGAGAGGCACGAGGCGGGCTAGCCAGAAGCGGAGGCTCACTCACGCGACTGCGAGGCATCTCGCAGACTCGTGCGGCCAAGCGAACGCAGCATGCTCCACAAGCCAGTCTCAAGGAGCCTGGGTGGCACTAGCCGCATCGAGAGGGAGCAGGCAAACTCTCTCGCGCGGCTCGCGGCTGCGCTACACGCAAGAGGTGCCTCGGCCGCAGCGCTAAACACGGCCGATGAGAGGGGACACGTCCAGCGTGGTGGGGCGTCCCGCCGGAGGCCAAGGACGATCGTCATGGCGAGCAGCACGAGCCACGAGCGAGACTATGCGCCGGCGCTATCGCTGGTGCTGCTGATCAGGGACAGATAGAAGCATCGAGAGCGGCGGGGCAAGACGCAGTACCCGTTTGGCGGCGCTCGAGGGACACGCTGCATCGAGGAGCGCCACGCCTCTGGAGGGCGAGGGAGCGGCAGACGAGCGGCAAACTCGGCCAAAGGCGTGAGAGCAGGCGTGGAGAGAGGAAGCCCGAGCTGAGACGGCAGCTCGCTTCCAGCGCCAGCGGACTGCCTGCCAACGAGCTCCACGCTCGCGGCACCCGGCGCCGCCCCCTGCGCACCGCTGCGCTCGTCAGCCCCGCGCGTCGGGGAGAGCACCATGCAGCACCCAGCACCCAGAGATACACACCGTCCCCTCCACTGCTGGCGCTCGTTTTGGGCCTGAAATTGGCAGCCGAGAAGCTCCGAGGCTCCGCGCTGACGGTGCTGCGGCTCCGCCAGCGTGGCAGGCCGTGGAAAGCGAAAAGGCCACGAGACGGCGACTTGCCCCGTGCTGTGCCGCAGCGACACGCCTCACCGCTGCGCCTCCTTCCCCTTCTCCGGCCGGACGAATCTGCGATTCTGCAGCCTCAGGCTGCGGCATCGGTGTCTGATGCTCCGGCTCTGCCGACTGCATCGTCCGGCCTGCGGTGCATTTCCAGCGCATCCCCGGCGCGAGTCGTGCGGACGACAGCTGACCTGCGGAGCGCCACCATGCACGCTCGCCCCAGACTCCAGACTCAGCTCGTGTCGCAGAGCGCGGGAAAGAACGAGGACTGTGCTGTCCTGGGGAGGGCGACGCCGAGCGTCGCATGTCGGCTGCGGTGCGTCGACCTCCGCCTCGCTCCGCCCGCAGCTCTCATGGACGGGCGGTTGTGCCGTGTCGAGGCCGAGCCTCCGGAGGTGCCGCGTCGCCCACGGACGCACGCCCGAGAGGCCCAGCTCCGAGCGCCGCCGATGCGATGTCGCCTGCGCGCTGCCATCGCGCGCCCCCAGCGGCAAGCCACCTGCTCTGCCTTGCTCTGCGAGGTCAAGCCATGGAGCGTGCCGAGCATGTGGTCGCGACTCGATCTCGATGCGCAACGCAGCGAGATGGAGAAGGGTAGGCTTTGCTGCTGGCAGCGAGTGACCGTCACTCATGCTGCCGTCAGCAGCGGTGCAGGACGGAGAGTCGGGCAAGACGGAGAGACTCGGTGCTCGACGTCGCTGCGCTGCCATCGGGCCAGCAGCGAAGGGCCGCACGGCCTTGCATGGAATCGTCTGATGGAGGGACGGGCACATCTGCTGCGTCTGTGCGGCGCCCTCTCGGGAAAATAGCGCCTCCCGTCGCTCTTCGCCGACGCCGAGCCTTCATGCTGACCCCCTCGAGCATGGCCGCTTGCGGCGGCGCGTGCACCACTTGACCGGCACGCACGACGCAGATCCCTGCTGCGTCCAGCCGGCGCCAACGGCTGCGAGGGGTGGTGCCCAGGCGCGCACAAGCTCGTGCTCTACAAACAGATCGAGGGGCCAGCTTCGCTGAGATGGACGAGCAGCAGCAGAGGAGGAGCGCATCGGCACCGACGTCGAGATGCTGCGGCGCGGCCGTTGCGCTGCACACGCACGCCGGCCGTTGGGAGATCTGCGCTGCAGACAGGCACCGGCGCCGGCGCAGGCACATGCACCCGGAGCCGCAATGCTGAGGCACCGAGCGAGGATGAGGATGAGCCGCAGACGGCAGCAGGGCGGGTGCGGCGGCTGGCTGTGCCGGTCGCGCAGGCGGCGGCAAGGGGGCGCGGAGGGACACGCCGCGTGCAGCATGCAGCGCGGCCTCCGCCCGCCCACGCCCCTTGCAGCGCGCGCACGCATCGCAGCAGCAGCCGCAGCACCACACAGCGTGGCCTCCGCGGTGCTATCTTCGGCTCAGAGCAGGGAAGGCTTTCGCGCGAGACGACGAGGACGGCTCGGCGCTCGACGGCCGCCACTGTCCGTGCTGCTCACGTGCGAGCCCGGCCGTCTCCGCTGGCAGGGATCGGGCGTCCTTGGACGAGCAGAGCACGGTCTGCCCTCGGTGCCAAGGCCGGCGGTGCACAGAGGAGCAGGCCCGCCCGGCGGCTGTGCAGCTGAATTTGGCAGCTGCGTCACGTGACGCGCAGGATGACGCAGAGGCGCGCCGCCCCAGCGCAGCGCGGAGACTGCTCCTGCGCCGCACATCGCATCGCTCTTGGCACCGATGGCCCCGCCGCCGGCTCGGGCAGGAGCACAGTCTGCGAGCCGCAGGGCCCTGCTGGGCCAGGCACGCCGCACCGAGAAAGAGGCGCGCGCGCGGCGAGGCGAAGCGAGCTCTTGCTCGAGCGCGCACCTCGCGGCCGCCGCACAGACGGCGCCCGAGCCCGCTCTCGCTCCTCCACCCACACCACACCCGCGCATCCCGCCAGACACCATGCGTGAGCCAGCTGCACCGCGACGCACCCTGCCCCGTGCTGACGGCGCATCTCAGCTTCCACCGAGCGCACGCCGCTCACGCAGCAGATCAGCAACGCGCTGCCCTCGCACCGCGGCGGCAGCGGCCACGACGCGCAGCCGAGCTTCGTCGGCTCGCTCTGGTGGCTGCTCACCAGCTCCTGGCTCAACCTGCTCCTCGTCTTTGTGCCGCTCGGCTTTGCCGCCGAGCACCTGCACTGGGGCACGGCCGCCATCTTTGGCATCAACTTCCTGGCCATCGTGCCGCTGGCCAAGGTGCGTAGAGGGTGGAGGCGCATACAGGCGAGAGGCAGGGGCGGCGTATGGATGCATGCTGGGCGACCGCTGGCCCTTGTCGCGCACTGCCGTTGCGCGCCTGTACTGACCTCTGCTCCACAGCTGCTGGGAGATGCCACTGAGCAGGTCTCGCTCAAGCTCGGCCAGACGCTCGGCGGCCTGCTGAACGCAACGTGAGCAGCTGTGCCGCTCGCCGCAGGGCAGCACGTGCTGATCTACTCGCAGCTTCGGCAACGCCGTCGAGCTCATCGTCGGCATCGTCGCGCTCACGCAGGGCCAGCTGCGCATCGTGCAGATGAGCCTGATCGGCTCGATCCTGAGCAACATCCTTCTGGTGCGTACCTCTTCGCAGTGCTGCTCTGCGGCTCTCGCGCTGACGTCTGGCGCAGGTGCTGGGCATGAGCTTCGTCGCCGGCGGCATCTACAAGGATGAGAACACGTTCCAGGCCACGGCAGCGCAGGCGTCGGGCAGCATCATGACGCTCGGCTGCATCACTGTTGTGCTGCCGGCGGCGTACCAGGGCTCGCTGTCGCTCTCGGCGCTGCTGCACGGCGGCATGGATGCGCTCAAGGAGCACAACGGCGGCGACGTGGGACAGAGCGGCGTGCTCTTCATCTCGCGCGGCACGTCGATCATCCTGCTCCTCATCTACGCCCTCTACCTCGTCTTCCAGCTCAAGACGCACGCCTTCCTCTTTGAGACGCCCGAGAACGAGGACGAGGAGGAGGAGAAGCCGAACATGACGCCCAGCGCCGCCGTGCTTGGCCTGCTCATCGTCACGGTCGTCACGAGCTTCAGCGCAGACTACCTCGTCGGTGCCATTGTGAGTGCGGCCAGGCGTGTGCGTGCCTTGCATCGTCCGCTGACACGTGCGCAGGACGAGGTGGCCAACGACTACAGCATCCCCAAGGCGTTCATCGTGAGCAGACTGCTGCAGCCCAATGTCCGTCAGCCGCTCACACTTCTCGACAGGGCACGATTCTGCTGCCGATTGTCGGCAACGCCGCCGAGCACGTCACGTCGGTGTGGATGGCGGCCAAGGACCGCCTCGACCTCTCGCTCGCCGTGGCGCTTGGCTCGTCGATCCAGATTGCCATCGGCGTCATCCCCGCGCTGTGCCTCACGGGCTGGGCCATCGGCCAGCCGCTGACGGTGAGTCGCATGCAGGGCGAGCTGATTGAGGCGTTTGCTCATCACGCTACCTCGCACAGCTGTCCTTTGGCGCCTTCGAGACGGTCGTGCTCGTCGCTGCCGTGATCCTCGTCAACACGCTCATCCAGGACGGCCGCTCGTGAGTGCTGCGTGTCGAGGGTGCTGCCGACACAAGCTGACTGTGTCCCGTGCAGCAACTACATCGAGGGCGCGCTGCTGTTTGCGGTACGTCACTCGCACGCTGCGTCCTCTCTTGCGCTCACACCCAGTCCTGCAGCTCTACTGCGTCGCCGCGCTCAGCTTCTGGGTCGAGCCGGAGCACTAGACGTCTCCTCGTCGACAGCGCGCTGTACATACGCATTCTTCGCTGTACATTCGCCTCCTCTGCGCGCAGGAGTGCGCTTTCCCCGTTCTTGTTGCATGCCACGAAAAAGTGCCGCACCGCCCGCTGTGCACGACGGACATACCCGGCTGCTCGCGCGCCGAATTATACGTTCGCCCTACGATGCCACTGACTGAAGGCGACGCTGCGGTGGGGTAGGAGGTGCATGCAAGATTACAGTAGTGTACAGTGAGGTAGAAGGTGGAGAGGGGGAAGAGCAGGGCACAGAGATGACAAGGGGGCAGGAAGCGAGAGAAGCATGCGAGTCGGCGGCCGGCCATCACCACCACACGTCGCCCTTGGGCTTCTTGCGAGCGCCCTGGCTGTCGAGCGACGAGCGCGCGCTCGAGTCGTCGGCCGCTGGACCAGGCGAGCGCGACGATGGGCGCGCCGCGAGCTCGTCCGAGCTGCGCCATGCTGCCTCGGGCACGATGGGCAGCGACGGGCCTGGCTGCGCGCCCGACGGCGGCGAGCCGAGGTTTGCCCATGCAAGCGACTCGTCTGCATCGTCGCTGAGGACCGACTCGTCAAACTCGTGCGAGTCGTCGTCTTCGACGGCGCCGTACTCGGCCTGCTGCTGCGCCGCGCGGCTCACCAGGCGCTGCCATTCGGCATCACGCCGCTGAGTCGACTCGGGCGACATCTCGACGCTGGGCCCAGGCGGCGAGCGCGAGCGCGAGAGCGAGAGCGAGAGCTCGCCGTCGCCGCCGCTGAGCGAGGCCAGACTGGCAGAGAGCACGCTCTCCTCCTCGGTGATATCGCTCAGGCCCTCGGGCTCGGGCCGGCGGTAGGCGTACTGCGTCAGGCCGTAGTAGCTCGGGTCGATGGGCACGGGCGGCACGGGCTGGTAGACTGCCTGGTCCTCCGGCTCTGGCGGCGGCGAGAGAGACTCGGTGGGCGAGAAGGTCTCGTTCGACGCCTCTTCGATCTGTGGAGGTGTCAGCTGACGGCTGCCTGGCGCCGACTAAGCATACACTCACGTCATCTAGACGCTCGCTCTGCTCGACGTTCGCCGGCACGACCTCGTCCTCGCGCGCGCTCCACCAGAGCGGCGCGCCCGGCTGCGGATTGCGGCCGCGCGTGCTGACCGCGACCGGCTCTGGCGTGACGATGGGCTGCCGCACCTGACCTGGTCGCAGGAGCGTCACGGAGCGAAATGAATCTGGCGAGGCTGATGGCATGCGAGCCGAGGCAGCCCGAGGTGTTGCCGGCACGCTGCTCTCGTCTGAGCTGCTCCAGGGCTCGCTGCCGGCATCAGGATGCGGGCTGAGCACAGGTGACGGCGAGCCAGAGTCCAAGTCGGCCGGCGGGTCCAGACCGAGCCCAAGTCCGAACTGCGAGGCCGGGTCTCCGCCACTAGCCTCGATCAGGCTCTCGAGTGTCCGTCGCGAGGCGATGCCCGTGTTCTCGCTGTCGTCCGTCGTGTCGGTCGTGTCAGAGACGTCGTCAAAGCCGCCGCGTACCTCGATGTCGGACGGCATCGAGCCGGGCGAATGCGGCGCAGAGTCGGGCGCAGCGTGCGGCGGGTCGCGCGAGCTCAGCACAGCTGCGGTCAGCGCACTCGGTGAGCGCAGCTCCGAGCCGGAGCGAGCAATGAACTCGGCGAGCATGTCGAGGCCGCGCTCGCGCTGCGCCTCCTCAGCAGCGAGGTACCTGTGAAGACTTGTCAGCGACTGCGCGACGCACGACCTGCGATGCACAACTCACATGTTCACGAAGGGCCAGGCGTGGACGCCACCAGGGCCGGACTCGACGTACGTCTGCAGCCAAGCAGCGCGCGCATCAGGCTCAGGCATGCTTGACGCATGCGCCGTGTCACCATCCTGCGCCGGGCCGTCGTCGTGCCGCGGCGCAGCGTGGCGGTTGTTCGAGCTCGCCAGCTTGTGCACGCGCTCGACGAACCGCTCAATGTCGACGGCGAGGCGTTCGCGCTCGCCCCACGTCACGAGCATGCCGCGCTCCAGACGCACCGCGCCCCAGTTGCCCGTCGACGGGCTGAGCAGCGGGTGCGTCTCAAGCAGCTGCTTCGCCTCGGCCACGTCTTCGTCGCCGCTCGCGCTGCCGTCGATTGGCACGTACAAGTCAGACGTGCTGCTGACGAGGTCGGTCTGCCGCTCGCTGTGCGGAAAGAGCGGCTCGAGGCCGCCAAACGACGAGTTCTGGTCCTGTGCAACGAGCGGGCCATCGTTGTTGCTTGACGATGTGCTAGGCGGCTGCGAGAAGAGCGGCTCGGCGAGCACTCTGTGGGTGGCACGAGCGAGCCGCCGGCCCGGGCGCGCGAGCGCCTCGAGCGTGACTGGCGTGGCAAAGGTGCCAGAGCGCGCCGTCGAGCCCTTCTTCTCGGAGTTGCCTTCGGCTTCCTGGCCTGCGCCGCCGCAGAAGTCGGCAAGCCAGCCCAGTGGACCTGCGACTCGCCGTGGGCGGGGCAAGACGCCCGAGTAGACCTGCGCAAAGTGCAGCAGCGCCTCGGCGGCGACGTAGTCCCACTCGTAGTCGTCGAGTGGCGAAGACGAGCTCGCAGCTTCGTTCTTCTCGGTGCTGGCTTCAGCGCGCGGCTTGGCAGGCTGCCGCAGCGGGCCGAACGCCGCGGCGTGAGATGGCCGCAGGTCGACCCATGGGCTGATCAGCACGGCCTTGCCCGGCATCGGCAGCGCGCTCCAGTCACGCTCGGCGAGCAGGCCGTCGTCACCCGCCTGGCCGGAGAGAGCCAGCAGCATAGCCATCGTGAGGTTGCCACCCGCCGAGTCGCCCGCCAGTGTGATACACGACGGATCGATCTGCTCGACCTCGACGAGGTGCGCGTAGCAGCGAAGGCACTGTAGCAGTGGCGTCGGGAAGCGTGCCGTCGGCGCCAGGTCGTACTCGACGGCCACGAAGCGCGCGTCGCTCTCTATTGGCACGCCTCGCTCCGTCTCGAGCGCGCTAACCTTGGCGCGCAGGCGCAGCAGGCTCTCGGCGTAGAAGGCCACCGAGCCGAGCGAGAAGCCACCGCCGTGGAGATAGAGCAGCGTCGAAGCCGAGCGAGCACCCAAGTTGGCGCGCTGCTCGGCGACGGGCACGCGGGCATCCTTGCTGAGCCAGAACGCGCGGAAGCCGGGCACAGCATCGGGCTTGCGCTCGCGGGCCGGCTCGTCGTCGAGGTCGCTGAAGGCCTGCACCATCGAGCCGGACCCGCCGCCGGTGCGCCAGTAGACGAATGGGCCAATCGTCTCCTCGGCGAACAGCACGCGCGGCAGCAGGTGCGGGAAGTTGGAGCACGTGAATCGGACGAGCAGCACCACGAGGTGGTGGAAGGGCGAGAGCTGCGACGGCGATGCCGACAGCTCCTGGCTCTCCTCGGCCTCGGCCTTGGCCTCGGGCGCAAGCACATCGGATGATGTCGTCTCAGCCGGCGCACGCTTGACTTGCGCTGTGCGCTTGTATGAGGAGCGCGAGGCGCTGCGCGACCATCGCGCGTAGAAGTCGCGCGGCAGACTCGTGACTGCCAGCCGGTGTGAGAGAGCAGCGTGGCACCAGCACCGCAGCAGAACTCACAGGAGTACACCATGCCCTTCAGCAGCACGTCCACCAGCTCCGCCACGCCGCACGTGCGCAGCAGGTTGAGCGCGTAGGTGAAGGCGATGAAGATGAGGTCCGTGAAGTAGAGGCCGCCGAGGAACGTCTCCTGGCGGGCGCGGTGGCGCTTGCCGCCCGTGGCCTGCGCCGACGCGACGTCGTCGTCGCGCGGCAGTGAGCCTCGCAGTGACCGGCCGGTGTCTGGCAGGCGCGACGGGCCCTGGTCGGCAGCGAGGCCGAGGCGCCCCGCCGTTGTCGACTGGTGGCGCGCCAGCTGGCCGCGCGAGCGCTGGCGCGGGTAGGCCGGGCGCGGCGTGCTCGTCGCTGCCGCACCCGACACCTCGACGGAGCGCGAGGGCCGCGCCGTCATGCTCGACGCCACGGACGATGCGGGCGAGAGCGGCGCGGCGAGAGGCGGTCCCATGCTGGGCGGTGCGCGCGTGGAGAGTGCGGGGGCGAGCAGGCGAGATTAGGCGCGCAGGCAGGTATGCATCTTCCGAGGTCGCAGCGGGCGCAGCGGGCGGTTGTCGCAGCAGCGGGGTGTTGCGACGGGGTATGAGATGGAGCAGAGCGAAGCAGGGCGTGTGGTCGGCGTGAGTCAGGCAGCTGGCTGACCCGGCCAGGTCCAGGATTCACACTCTCGGCGTCACCGCGCGTGGCTGATGAGGCAGCGTGCGTGCCTGCGGGGTGAGATAGCTGCGTGCCACGGCACCTCAGCAGCACGCACGCTGTGTCGCCGCGCCACCCGCGCTGCTCCGCGAGCGCGCAAGATTTCGTGCCTTGCCCCTCACTCGCGGAGCGCGTGACAGCGGCCGCCGCAACGAGGCGCCCCTCTGCTCGCTGCCGTGGGAGCAGCGACGACTCCAGGCATGGCAAGACGAACAGGCGGCGCTCTCGTCTGCAAAGGCCGACCAGCGATGGCCGATGGCGGCTCGTTCAGTCGGAGCTGGGAGGGCAAGCTGAGCTCAGTCGAGTGGAGGCGGTGCGAGGCGGCTGATGCCGAAAGTTGGCCAGTTCCCACGGTCATCAGGGCGTCCCCTCACACGCGCGCCGCCGCTCCCCTGCTGGCGGCTGCCTCCTACACAGGCCTCACGGTGCATCCGAGCAATCTTCTTCGAGCTCACTTCCGTCATTCGAGCTGAGCACCACTGCATCTGGTAGCGCAGTCCGATCTTCCGCTTTGTTCCCACGCGCGCCGCTCGCTGAGAACCTGCGTGGGCTCAGCAGAGGCGACGCGTACAAGCACGGTCACAGCTTTCGGACGCTCCGGCGACCGAAAGCAGCCGACCTTCTGGAGCACTGCACCTCGAGGGTCAGTGGCTAGCCGAGATATATTAAGCTGGCTTTTCGGCTGTCCTCCTAGCCTTTCGAGACGAGAGACGGCGCGACTTTCCACTCTAGCCAGCGCAGACGGCAGCTGATGAAGTAGGAGTGTCTAATCGCGCGTGAGTGCTCGGTCTGCACACCACTTGGCGAGATGCCGCACAAGGCAACGGGCCTACGGCACAGTCACCTTGGGGGCTGCGGGGAAAGATCCACGGCACGGCGGCTTGAAGATTAAAGGCGGCTGTGGGGTAAGCCGGCGGCGAACGATTGTCGAAAAGACTGATGAACGGTATCGCCTGGGCAACGACGGCAGCGGCGTGCCCGGCAGAAGTAGGCCGACAGTCACGCACATGCTCTGAGACTCCTCTTCATCGGCCCGGAAACGCAGCTTCTCTTAGCATAAAAGCCTGTCCCTTTCGTCCCCTGTCTGCCTTCTTGTCTACCACTCCCAGCGCTCCTCAGTACTGCTCCTTGCGCCCGTCCTCAACATGTCCCACGTCCCGGATCGCCACTTTATCTACAACTTCACGATTCTTGATCCTGATAGCATCTCCTCTTATATGGACGACAGCGATGACCACGACCCCAGCGCGGGCGCGGGGATTGCCGAGGCCAAAAAGCTGTGGCGCTTCGCGGACAACCCGCAGACGGACCGCACTCAAGCTTCGATGGCCCTCGACAGGGCTGCTCGTCTTCTTGCAGACTCCGGTGCCGACGTTCCTCAATTCATCTATGAACGGGGGCAAGACTCGGCGAAGACGGGTCGGTGCGGCCATGTCCCGCTCGAGGTGACTTCCTCCACGAAGAAGAAGAAGGTGACGTTGCCACCACACGTGAGTCCTTTACTGCATCTATCTGAGCACCTGCTGAAGAACCGAACGTCACATAGGCTTGGAGTATTGTCAGGTCGATCTGCAGGCTTCACTCGGCTCATTTCTGCAGTTACCATCTCACCTCTGGCGAAAGGGTCGTGTTATTCTATGGCGATCTCTCAGTCGTAAAGACCGCTGCCAACGAGTGCCGCGAGCAATTGGAAAGGGTCACTGACCTCTCTGCAATCCATGAGAAACTGCCCCCGCCTTCAGCAGACGGTGCAAGCAAGACAGCGTACGGTAGCGGCTTTTCATATGGTCTCAATGACAAGGCCGACATGATGGCAGGCATGAACGTGCCTCGCCTCCGTGCGAGGGAGTCGGACCCTGCACCGTGAGTGTCACCGCCAGGATTCCTGTCTCATCTTATCTTGTAAGCATAGACGTACAGCCTGACCTCTCCTCTCAGTCGCTTCCAAGCCTCCTTTGACGAGGGCCGTGCTGAGGGGTACGCAGCCAAGTTGAGCGCGCCGCAGTGGAAACGCTCGGCTTCTGCAGGCGGCAGCAATGCCGGGAACGACAACGCGGCTTCAGCTTAGCGCTGTGGAAACCACGTCTCGGCAAGCGTCTTTCTCTTCGACTCGCCCCACAAGTTGCCTCAAGCGCCTTGCGAACCTGCTCCGACTCTTTGTCTCTTTCTCTCGCCTCCGACCCATGCTCAATCGTCTGAGGGCGCTCTTCCGTCAAGCCTCGCCCAAGTCAACTTCGCGATGCGATCCTCACGGCTCAAGTCTGCTCCTCGAATCAACTTCTCTCACCACCACTCAACGCTCGACCATCCGCGCCCAACGAATGACACAAGTGATGCGCGCCTTCGCTCTGGGACAGTGTGAGACAGCAGGCATGACATTGAGATCGCCAGCGGCGCGTGAGCAGGGCGCGCTGAGCCACTCGGCCAGCAGAGGCCGAGACGGGGGGCAACACATCAGAGGGGGGCAACTAGGCGACGGCCGAGATGGGCGACGACTGCGCCTCGAGGGGCATGGCGCCGGGCACGTGGAGGCCAGGCGTGGCGGGCGCGTCGGCGACAGTGTCGATGGCGAGCAGCTCGTCGCTCCACAGGGGCGCCGAGTTGGTGTCGCGCTCGGCCTGGCAGAAGAGGTCGGCGAGCGCGTCGGTGCCGGGCTCGCAGGCACGCAGCTCGTCGACGCGGCGGATGCCGAGCTTCGTCCAGACGGCGTCGAGCGCCTGCACGAGGTGCTGCACGTCGGCCGAGCTGTGGCCGGGCGTGGGCGTGATGCGCAGACGCTCGAGGCCGCGCGCCACCGTGGGGAAGTTGATCGGCTGCACGTAGCAGCCGTGCTCGGCGAGCAGCATGTCCGACGCCGCCTTGGCCTTCTCGGCGCTGCCGACGAGCACGGGCACAATGTGGGACGGGTTGTGCTGCAGCGGAATGCCGGCGGCGATGAGGGCATTCTTCGTCTCGCGCGTGCGGATCTGCTGCACGCGGCGCGTGTGGTTGCTCTCCATCAGCACCTCGACGGCCGTCGTGGCGCCGGTGAGCACCGACGGCGGCAGCGTCGTGCTGAAGATGAACTGCGGCGCAAAGCTGCGGATCAGGTCGACGAAGCGGTTCGAGCCGGCAATGTAGCCGCCGACGTTGCCGTACGCCTTGCCGAGCGTGCCCGTGATGATGTCGATGCGGTCCATGAGCGTCTTCTTGCCGTTCTGCGCCGCCGCGCCGCCGCGCTCCTGGATCTCCCACTCGAGGTGCTCGGCGACACCGGCGCCGCGCGGGCCGTACATGCCGACGGCGTGCACCTCGTCGAGGAAGGTCAGGGCGCCGTACTTTTCAGCCAGCTCGATGGTGCGCTCGATCGGGCCGACGGTGCCGCACATCGAGTACACCGACTCGAAGGCGATGATCTTGGGCGTGTCGATGGGAATCGCCTTGAGCTTCGCCTCGAGGTCCTCCATGTCGTTGTGCTTGTAGATGACCTTCTTGGCGCCCGAGTGGCGAATGCCCTGGATCATGCTCGCGTGGTTCGAGCTGTCGGAGAGGAACACGCAGTCGGGCAGCTTCGAGCCGAGGATCGTGAGCGTGCCGTCGTTGGCGGCGTAGCACGAGCCAAACACGAGCGCCGCCTCCTTGCGGTGCAGCTCGGCCAGCACGGCCTCGGCCTTCTCGACGAATTGGTTGTGGCCGGCAATGTTGCGCGTGCCGCCGGCGCCGGCGCCGTACTTGTTGAGCGTCTCGCTCATGGCGGCGAGGACGCGCGGGTGGCGCGACATGTTCTGGTAGTCGTTGGCGCACCACACGGTGATCTCCTGCGCCTCGTCCTGCAGGTGGCCGCGCGGCGCCTTGCCGGCGAGGCGGTTGATGTTGTTGAAGTAGCGGTACGACTTGTCCGCGTGCTTGGCCATGATGTCGCGGTGGTAGAAGGCCTCGTAGTCGAAGCCAGGGCCCTCCTTGGGCTTGAGCGTGGGCGGCATGCCCATGCCCGAGCCGGGCGTGCGGACCTGCTTCTTCTTCATGCTGTCGGCGCGGAACGTCGAGCGGCCCTCGGCAGCAAAGGCAGCAGCCTTCTCAGCGGCAGCAGCTGCGGCAAGCGCCTGGCAAGGGGGTCAGCATGTCTCACCCCTCCTCGAGCATGCGCCACTCACCTTGGTGTGCGGGCACTTCTCCGGGTCGCCGTGGCCACCGGTGCGCACGCCCTCCTTGGCGTGAATGCGGTCCAGGTGGTCCGGGTTGGCCACGACGCTGGCGGCGGGCGCCTCGGTGCGGCTGACGTACGTGCGCGCCTGCTGGCCGATGTGCGGGTTGTGCGTGGCGCCGGCGGCGAAGGGGCACACGCCGGCGGGCGCCTGCGGGCGGCGCGCGGCGGCCGTGCCGAGCGCCAGGTGCGCCGAGGCGACGGTGGCGGGGCCGCTGCCAAAGAGGAACTTGCCGGCGGCGCTGCTCATGGCGGGCGCGGCGGCGGCGGCCTGGTCGGGGTGCTCGGCGATGGCCTCGCTCATGACGGGGCACTGCTGGGCACGCACGGCGAGGCGCGTGGGCCCGCCGGGCAGGCACGTCGTCGTGCTCATGCTGCGCAGCTGCAGCATGGGCGTGCGCGACAGGTACGGGCACGAGGGGCGCAGCTGGCGCAGCGAGGCTACGGTGCGGTCCATGATGAAGTGTGAGATGGGGTGAGGTGGTGGTGAGGCGGTGAGAAGGCGGTCAGGCCTGTCGGCGAGTCGAGGCGAGGCAAGGCGGCGAGCGGCATGTAAGCGTGCGCCGCGGCGCCGAGACTGGCGGCGTGCCTGCGACAGCGACGGCGTGCCGCGCGAAGAAGGGCCCCACGCCGAGTGCCACGCCACACTGCTCAAGTGCCCGACCCGCCTCGCCAGACCCGGCAGGCAGCTGCTTTGAAATCAGGGCCGCGCGACACGACTTCAGCTCAATTCTTGTAGTCCCTGCCGCAAATCTCGCCGGCGCGCCATCACGCGCACCGCCCGCCGGCTTGCGTGCGCACCCCAGAGGCCTGTCGACGCCATGCTTCGACCCTCGGCACAGGCTGAAGCGCACGTCTGGAAGCGACGTCGAGGTGGACGGGAGCAAGAGGTCGGACTTGACGTGTCGATCTCGCGCGCAGCCGCAGCGCAGGCTGCAGATCTTGGTGGGCTGATCCGGCGTCGCGCTGTGCACGTCGTGTGGGGCACTCGCGGCGTGCCGGCGCCTGCTGCAAGCAAGACCCCTTCCCGCGCCGACGATCAGAGACCGCTTCCCCGCACTCCGGCCGCCCCTCAGGGCAGCAGTGGCACTTCCGTGCGCTTTGCGCCCCTCTGTGAGCCGTGCCAGCGCAGCACAGCGCCGTTGTCTCACCGCCTGCGACCTCCTCGGCTGCGCTCTGAAGTCGCTGCGAGCGCTGGCTGTCATGTCGCGGGGCACGCTCGCCGCCTTTAGCGCGCAGGCTCGCAGGAGTCGCCGAGGCGCGGCGAGGCGCGCGAGAGGCCGGCTGGGCATGCCGGGTCCGGCTCACAGCAAGCCACGTGGCTCAAGGCCGCTCCCACGCCTGGCGAGGACATAACGGGTGCATTCCGATGGCAGCAGACACGCAACGCGGGAGTCACTCGACAGACCAAATTTGCCAAAGGACAGACAAGAGAGAACAGCAAAGAGTGTGAAATACGGAGCGGCACAGCACGGTAAATGAGGGTGACAGATGCAACGCGATGTCGAAGAGAAAAGGAGACAGGAGGGGTGAAGGACAGCGTCACTGCTGCGCTCAGCCCGACGAGGCAAACGCCACGCGCAGGGCAACATGGACCGCCTCGAGGGTGACATCTGCCTGCTTGCACTGCTCGAGGCCATCCGGCAGCAGGGCTGCCAGCGCCTCGAGCATGCGGGCCGAGCTGCGCTCCAGCGCCTTGAGTGCCGCGAGGGCGGCTTGCTGCACTCCAAAGTCGCGCAGCAGGGCCTGCTTGGCTTGCAGTGTCGTACCAAGCGCCGTCTCGGAGCGCACGAGCTGCTGCAGTGCCGCGAGCACCTCGGTACTCTGAGTGCCGACGAAGGGCTGCTGCACCCAGTCGAGGCGAGCCTCGCAGGCCTGCGTCAGCTTGACCATGTCGCGCAGCCGCTGTGGCGCAGCAGCGGCGACGGGTGCGCCGGCGCGAGCGACACTGCGCAGAGGCGCCAGCTGCTGCTGTAGCAGTCTGGCGCTGTTGCTGATCGCCTCGATTGCACGTGCGAGCGATTGGACCTCGGCATTGCGAACCGACGTCGGCATTGGCGCCAGGTTCGCCGTCTCGTCGAGGTCACGTCTGCGTGCGGCAAGGGTGCCGACCGTCGAGACGAGAGGCTTCACGACGCAGCCCAACAGGCCGCATGACGTCGTCATGGCCTGCTGAGCAGTCGTCGTCGTCGACGCTGGAGAAGGGGCCGGCTTTATTGAGCTTCCAGCGGCGCCGCTCGACGTGGCGGCCCCTCCTGCCACCGTGGTGGACCCGCGAGCGCTTGACGTCGCGGCGCCACCACCCACAGCCGCCGTGCCGGAACCGGAGGAAGTGGCCGCACCACCGCCTACAGCCGCCGTGGTCGAGGTGCTCGTGACACCGCCGCCGCTGACTGTTGCGGTGGCGGATGCTGCGGGAACGCTGGACGTCGCACCGCCGCCTGCGACGCTGGAGGTGGCGCCGCCGCCCACAACGCTCGAAGTTACAGCCCCACCGGCAACGCTTGACGTGGCGCCACCGCCCGTGACGCTTGATGTAGCGACGCCACCGGCAACGTTCGAGCTGCCTGCGCCTCCTGCCACGCTCGACGTCCCAATGCCGCCAGCGACGCTCGACGAGGCAGCGCCGCCTGCAACGCCCGACGTTGCAGCACCACCTGCAACGCTCGAACTGCCTGCGCCACCTGCGGGGACTGAGGAAGACGCCGCTGGAACGCTCGAGCTGCTTGCGCCACCTCCGGCGGTTGGGGACGACACTGCTGGAACGCTCGACGTCCCAGCCGCACCGCCAACGGTCGTTGTGACCTGCGGCGGCGCCGAGCTGGACGAAAGGGATGCTTGGCTTGAGGCTGCTTGGGAGCCAACGGGTCCTGAGACCGCGCTCGAGCTACCTGGGGCCACTAGCGAGCTCGAAGGAGTTGCTGCTGCCTGGCTCGAGGAAACTACAGGCGCGGGCGTCGAGGAAGCCGCTGCCGGGCTCGAGGAAGACGTGAGGGAGACTGATGCCGTCACGGTCGCGGAGAGGTTGGACTGGACCTCGAGCGAGGCGGAGACCACCGCAGAACTTGACGACGAGGACACGACGCTGACGGAGGCCGAGAGCAGAGGCGCCCCGGAGGAGCTCGCAGCCGCCGAGGTACTTGCCGGCTGGACAGCGCTGCCGGCAGGCGAGGTCGCTGCTCCGCTGCTTGTAGAGCTGCCTGCTGGAGGCGCAACACTGCTGCTGCCCTGCGGCGTACTGCTGCTGCTTTGCGTTGGCGTGCTGCTGCTGTCGACCGATCGCACGTCACTGCTTGCCGGGGCGGCCACACTGCTGCTACTGTTTGCCGGCGGAGGCAGGCTGGTGCTGCTCGCCTGGGGCTGAGGCACGCTGCTGCTCGACTGCTGTGCCGGAGGCTGGCTGCTCGACTGCTGCGCCGGGGGCTGGCTGCTCGACTGCTGTGCCGGAGGTTGACTGCTGCTCGACTGCTGCGCAGGGGGCTGGCTGCTGCTCGACTGCTGCGCAGGGGGCTGGCTGCTGCTCGACTGCTGC